CAATGGAAAAAATATTTTTGGGTGAGGATTAGCAAAACAGAACAAAAACAAAAAAACACCAATAACTCAGCAGAGTTTGAAGCCTACATCCCAAATAGGAGTTAGTAAGGGATGCAGAAGTTAGAATAATGTACTTTCTGAAGACATTTTTTTTCTTTTAGTTGCATTACTGCAGCTTACGGGAGGGGTCTGGTCCCGGTCATCCAGACCTACAGACCCCAGACCTGGTCCCTCTATGATTTTATGCAGAGGGCTTGGAAGGCAGATTATTATGCTGAGTGGCCAGATTATTATGCGTTCAGAGATCATAATAATCTGGCCACTCAGTGTAAATAAAAAATATATAGTGACATATTTATGCATTTCAGTTCTCTATTATATGTTTTGAAACTTTGCTATTTTTTCTTATCACTTCATATTATTTTTATTTTTATTTTATTTTTTAAAATATATTTTATTGATTTTTTTACAGAGAGGAAAGGAGAGAGATAGAGAGCTAGAAACATTGATGAGAGAGAAACATCGACCAGCTGCCTTCTGCACACTCCCCACTGGGAATGTGCCCACAACCAAAGTATATGCCCTTGACCGGAATCGAACCTGGGACCCTTCAGTCCACAGACCGACGCTCTATCCATTGAGCCAAACCGGTTTCGGCCATATTATTATTATTTTTAAACAATTTCTTAGTGATTTCTTCCTCAGTAATTCAACTATCCCTTTGTTCTTTTATTTTTCTCTTGTTCTTTGGAAGCTTGTTTAGACCAAGTTAGTAGCCTTTTAGGCTTCCTCCATGTGAATAGGAGTTCCCTTTTTGAATAATAAGAATTATATGTCACTGGCGGGGTGGGGGGACACATAAAAAATTTAGAGATGCTTTGCTGGAGGCAAAGACCAACAAGTAGTTAGCATAATAAATGCAAGAGGTCTGTCAGAAGGCTGATGAACTTTGGGCTTTAGCAAGGGTTGAAACTATGCCCAGATTGTTCTGTTGAGACAATGGTGGCTAAAGGCAATCTCCTAATCTGATAATCTTTTACTATTTACCAAACCTTACCTTTGATATGTCTGTTTGGTTTGCTAAAGGGAAAATGTGTATTCTAGTAAATAAAAAGCCATGGGTCCAGAGATTAAGGGAGACACTCCACTAGAGGTTGAGGCATCTACCTGGTTTTCCCCATGCCTTCTAAATTTATATTTCTTAGCTAGTATATCTATTTGCACGTAGCCCCTTCTCCAGATTCTGAATCCTTGCTGCAAAATATTGCAGCAATGCTTAGATGGGGCATGGCAAAAAAAAAAAAAAAAAAAAAAGATTGGGAACCACTGCTCTAAACAATAAGGAATTTTATGAATTATTTCCCGATGAGGATAGTCTTTTATAATCATAGCCCTCTGTCCCAAATGCCATAGATTGGGATGGATGAATGGATGGATGGCTAGCCAATTGGTTTGGAGCCCACAGCAGGAAGGCAGAAGCTGTAGCAGGTGGCTCTGCTGGGCAGGAAGGCCAGGGAAGGGTGATTTCTGCAGATACTGGATTGGGCATGGGGCCACACCTGGGCCATTTCCCCTGGACACAGAGTAGCTAAGCCCATGGGTGGAGATCACACACTGGTGCTCACACCCACGTGTGACTCACATGGATTCCTTCCTTCCAGTGTCCTTGGACTGAGAGAGATGGAGGCTTCATCTGCTCACCCTTTCAGGGACTTAAGGACAGAATTCATACCTGGAGGAGTATCTACAGGTGCAGTTGAAAGCTTAGTTGCCACAGGTTTCCAAGGGTGGGGAAGGGAAGGGACCAGGAGGAAGGTGGCTCCTGTCCTAGTAGAAGGCACCAAGTTTCAGGGCAGGAAGCAGGCAGTCAATAAAACCAGCCCACTGTGCAGGGAAAACATCTGGGACCTTGCCTCCCGTCACCCCTTTGCTTCTGGTGCACTGCAGCCTGCCTTCCCTACAGCCCTCTCTGGCCACCCTCCTCTCCCTGAGCTCTGCTTTTATGACAGCACTCTTGGGCAGCGTCATGAAGGCTGGAAGTCCCAGGAGTCTTTTCCCAATGGGGGAAATCCATTTGGTCACACCAGTCACACTCAGGCCTGCTACTCTGCAGGGCCACAGGGCTCCAGTGTGGGACAGGTTGGGACACTTTCACTCCCAGAACAGCCTCCCCTCTGGCCCATGGACCTCTGACTGGCAGACTTCTTGGTTGCATGGGGCAGCTCAGGGAGAGGCAGGGGACCACCACTGAAGGTGGCATCGTAGCCCCTCGAGATACACTACTCCATCTCAGCATGATGGAAACTGGGTTCCTGCTCTCCTCTGCCAGGCGCTGAGCACCGTCCCCAGAGACCTCATCAGCCTTCCAGTCACCAATCACCCCCTCATCCCACTTGCACCCCAGCTCCAATCTTTGGTTAGTGTGAACTCTGCCCAGCGTCCCCCTGTTTGTCAGTAGTCAAGTTCTGCAGCCTCTGCTTTAGTTTCAGCTGTCCTGGGGACAGACTGCTGGGGTCTAGAGCCGCTTTCTATCTTACACTAGGTTGACCTTGGGTAAGTTACCTAGCCTCCCCTTGCCTCAGCTTCCTCATTTGTACAATAGAGATCATGATTTTAGCCAACTGCCTCATACAGTTTTAGCAGGAGATACACAGTACACTCAAGTTGGGTAAACTGAGGATAGATTAATAAAGAGAATGTTTACATGGACAGGAGTTAGGAAAAACGCAGGCATAAGAACTAGCCATGATGGAGTCTCCTTTATGCTCAAGTCTTATAGACTCAGGAGACATTGTTTAATGGTTTTAATGTGGAAAACCCAACACCAACCTCTCCGTCAACACAGCCACTGCTTTCCCGTTTCTACGCCCTCCACCTGAAGGGCCTTCCCCGCTGTGTCTCCACTCTCGTGGGAGACTTGCTTGCTCTGCTCCCAAATATATTGAACTTTGACAAATTTCCTCATTGAGAAGTGGAATAATTTCCTGATATCACATTCTGAAAGGGCTTTTTAAAAATTTTATTATTTATTTGAGAGAGAGAAGCATTAATTTGTTGTTCCACTTACTTATGCATTCATTGATTATATTTATGCATTAATTGTCAGTGTCCGACACAGTAGCCACAGGACACGTGTGGCTCCAAGCACTCGAATTGTGGAAGGAAAATTTTAACTTTAGAGTCAGCCTCTGTGTTTCCAAGACAGCAGTTTACAAAAAAGGCTGGGTTCAGGGGATGATCTCTGCTGATGGCCGGCAGAACCAGTACCAAGCAATTTGAAAGCTTCTTGGCTGCATGCAATACGCTCGATTGAGAAACACCATCATGATTGCCCTTTTGAATGGGTACTTAATTCTCAATGAGGTAAGCTGAATGAGTTGGCCAAAAAGGCAGTTATATTGTTTGGATTGCTGAGAACCCTTAACCAACTGTTCATTTGAAATGTATTTCACCGCAACCGCCCACCTTGCCCAAGCATTCACCCTGCCCACTCCCAACCCTCTCCTAGGCAGCATGGGAGCTTTATTTGGTGACACAGTCTTAGGGGGCAGGGCCCACCAGATGGTGTGAGGCACGCTGGGCCCCATGCCCCTGGCAACCAACCAGCTCTGCTCCTGGCCCTTCTCAGATGTAACTCCATCGCCCGGCTACTCAAGAGCCCGCCTCTGGGATTCCGGTCACTCAGAGACACTCTGCTCCCTTCCCAGAGAATCAGTTTCTACACCAGAGTTTTATAAAATCCAAAATAACTTTATTATTCACTTTTTCAGGTTTTTTGTTTCCACAAGGTGTTCAGCAAACATGCTAAGGCAACAGAATGTCTAGTTGGTCACGACATGCAACGCTGACCATTCAACGGATGACAGCAGCGACCACGCCCACCTGAGCTACTGGCCCCACGGCACAAGGGGGGTTTGCAGAAACACACCGAACCACACGGCAATCAGCAACCTGAGGTAGGTCTCTTTACAGTACAAAGACTTCCGCGCCAGTGCGAGACACTGAGTAGCAGGAGCTGCTTGAAGTCGCAGACTTTGGAGAGAGGAGGAGACTGTGCGATGTCTGCAGCGAGGAAAGGAGACAGACCCACGGAATCCTGAACCCTGTCACTGAGCTGTGGAGGCGCGGACCAGGCCAACGGAGAAGGGCCACCGGGAAAGCAGCGGCCGGCTCCGGGGCCGGGAGCCGACGGGCGTGGGAGCCGGAGCTCTGTGCAGCGGGCCAGCGTGAGGAACCTGAGGCAGTGGGACCCTCTGTGGAGAGACTTGATTCTCGTTTAGAAATGACAGCAAGAGGAGGAAGGCGGGAAGGGAAAAGGGGGTCGGGGGCTTTGCCCCACTGCTCTCCTGACGGAAACAGGGAGGTGACACCAGGACAGAAAGCAGGAGCCCTGAGAATTCACGGCGCTCTGCACGGCCCCAGGCGGGGCCGGGTGGGAGGCGGCAGCGGGGGCCGCTGGGGGGCCCGCCGTGGCCACACGGCTTCCTTTCCTGACACCCAGAAACCTGGCGCCATGAAAAACCAGCTGGCAAAGAACAATATGCTACCCTTTCTGTTGTCTAATAGCAAAACCAGGTCTCCAGTGCAGCCCAACTGTACAAAAATGATAGAAAGGAATCTGCACTGTTATTAGCACAGTGCTTCTTTTAATATAAAATAAACAGCTTACATTTTCACTGTAAATATAGGCTATGTACAGAATTATATATATATATATATATATAGATATAGCTACACGTATAAAGCTTCAGTATAGGCCTCTGATACATTTATAATACGGTTCCCTGAACCTTGTAGAGTGCAATTAAAAACAAAAACTAAATCTTGTTTACGTGAATCTGGAGTCAGTACAATAATCAAAATAGGACTCTCCCTAAAAGTGAAACACACAAGCCGATCCTGAACTGCTGTGCGAAAGATGAAGTCGGGAAAGGCAAGGTTTCGGCAGGACAGGAGGCGCGCGGCCTCGGGAGGACAGAGACGGAGGCGGCGCGGAGGGGTCAGCCCTTGACGGCGATCTTGTTCTCCGTAGCAGCAAACATGGCGTAGAACCGGGAGCTGTCGTTGGACAGAAGGACCGATGGGGGGTCGAACTCCACTACCTGCAAAGGAAGGAGATGGCATCAGGATGTGAGTAGAGGACCCACTTTCAGGAAGCGGGGGGGGGACGGGGACACAAGCCCAAATGCCCCTTGAGGATGGAGTCAGGGTGACACTCCTATTAGCCCTGCCATGCCCAAATGGGGTCCTTTTTACTCATTTTTTTTTTAAATAAAATATATTTTATTGATTTTTTTTTTTTTTACAGAGAGAAAGGGATCAATAAGAAATGATAAGGGATCAACAAGAAATAAAGAATACATTGTCTGAAATAAAAAATATTATACAGAGTCCTAAAAACAAAATGGAAGATCGCAAGAATCAAGTCAAAGATTTGGAACATAAAGAGCCAGAAGACACTCCTCCACAGAAGCTAGAAGGCAAGAGAATCCAGAAAATTGAAGATAATGTAAGAAAACTCTGGGACAACTTCAAGCGAACCAACATCAGAATTATGGGGTCCCAGAAGATGAGAGAGAGCATGGCAGGGCTAGTAGGAGTGTCACCCTGACTCCATCCTCAAGGGGAATTTGGCAAGAAATATTCAAGGTGATGAATAGCAAGAACCTACAGCCAAAGATAATCTATCCAGCAAAGCTATCACTCAGAATCGAAGGTCAGATAAAGAGCTTCACTAATAAAAAAAGGCTAAAGGAGTTCATCACCACCAAACCAGAATTATATGAATTGCTGAAGGGGGTTCTTTCAGAAGAGAAAGTAAATAAAGATAAAAATTATGAACAACAATTATGTAACTATCAAAAGTGAATCTAAAAACCAAGGAAATTAAAAAAAAATCTGATGAACAATATTAACTGTTGAATATAATAGAATCAGAGGTATGGAAGGGGAGTGAACTGACAATTCTTGGGGAAAAGGGGAGAGGGGGATGTGGGAAGAGACTGAACATAAACGGTGCACCTATGGATGAGGACAATGGGGAGTGGGGAAAGGGCAGAGGGTGGGGTGGGGACCTGGTGGAGGAGAGCAATGGTGGGGGGGGGGGGGAAGGAACATTTGTAATAATATGAACAATAAAAACTTATTAAAAAAAAAAAAGAAACATTGATGAGAAACATCGATTAGCTGCCTCCTGCACACCCCCCCACTGAGGATGTGCCTGCAACCAAGGTACATGCCCTTGACCGGAATCAAACCTGGGATCCTTCAGTGTCTCCCTATGCCGTCATCTTGGTTCTTCCTCCCTGTAATATCTTGTCGATCGATTCCTGCCTACCTAAGGCTGAATGAATTAGGTAAAGGAGGTCTAGAGGTGTTTCTCTTCAACCTTTCCCTGGTTCCCTGGTTAGCTTTAAAAAATAAAATAGCCTAAACCGGTTTGGCTCAGTGGATAGAGCGTCAGCCTGCAAACTGACGATTCTCGGAAAAAAGGGGAGAGGGGGATGTGGGAAGAGACTGAACATAAACTGTGCACCTATGGATGAGGGCAATGGGGGGTGGGGAAAGGGCAGAGGGTGGGGTGGGAACCTGGGGGAGGGGAGCAACGGAGGGGGGGGGAATGAGGAACATTTGTAATAATATGAACAATAAAGTTTTATTAAAAAAAAAAGATATTACAGGGAACCCACTGCAGCACAAGTCAAAGGCTTAGCAGGCAATGGCATCTAGTTATGCAAGCTCATCTAAACCTATAGATGGAAAAGGAACGGCTCAGGAGTCCTACTTGGCAAAGAAATAAAAAAGGAAGTGAGAGCCCTGGCCGGGTAGCTCTGCTGGTTAGAGTGTCGTCCTGATACAACAAGGTTGTGGATTCGATCTCTTCAGTCAGGGCACAGACAACAGTCAACCAATGAATGCATAGATACATGGAACAAACTGATGTTTCTCTCTCTTCCCCCTTCCTCTTTCTCTCTAAAAACCAATTTTATATATATATATATATATATATATATATATATATATATATATATATATATATATTTATATTTATTTTTAAAAGAAGAGCCCTTGCCAGTTTGGCTCAGTGGATAGAGCATCAGCCTGTGACTAAAGGGTCCTGGGTTCAATTCCAGTCAAGAACACATGCCAGGTTGCAGGCTTGATCCCCAGTAGGGGGTACGCAGGAGGCAGCCGATCAATGATTCTCTCTCATCATTGATGTTTCTATCTCTCTCCCTCTCCCTTCTTCTCTGAAATCAATCAATAAAAAGTAAAAATAAAAAAGTGAGTAAAGGGTAGACTCAGTCAATTATCCATACCTATGATGGACTTCTATGCACTCACTGGAAACCATATTGCAGTAGAAAAGTGAATGACGTGCTGGCAGGACCTGCCTCCCATGATGTGGCTGACAATTCCACATACTTCCCAGCTTCCCTTCTGCAGGGCAAAGGCGTGGACACACCTTTGCCTGGAGCTGAAAGGGGAGGTCTCTGGGGGCGCTTCTAGGAGAGGGTGTCCTGCCCAGGGCAGACAGGCCTAAGGACAGAGCATCCTTCCTTCGGACTGGCTGCCTGAGGGTGTGACGCTGGTGCTAGAGCAGACCCAGCACTATCTGTGGACAGGGCGACACTGGCTTTGAGAGATAGGCCGGTTGTAAGCAGGTAGATATGGGAAAGGAAAGCAGGGGAAAGGACACTTTAGGTAGACTGTATGAGTAGACACAGAAGATGGAAAAGCTTAGGGGATGCAAGATTGTCTATAGCTAACAGCATTCTCAAGGGAAAAGAGGGAAACGAAGAAGGCATGGCTGGACCAGATTGTGGGGAAGCTTGAAACAGCGGGATACAAGTTTGGCACCTCTACATGATTGCAAAAAGCAAACACACATGGTGGCAGGTCTCAACATTCCTTGGGCAATTCTTATTTACTAGAGGCATGGAGCATGAAATTCGTGCACAGGGGTGGAAAGGGGGTGGGAAGGGTATGTCTCTCAGCCCAGCCTGCACCCTCTCCAATCTGGGATCTCTCTCTCACAATCCAGGACTGCTGGCTCCCATCCGCTCACTTGTCTGCCTTCCTGATTGCCCCATAACCACTCCCATGCCAGCCTGGTTGATGCCTAACTGCTCCCCTGATGGGCCCGTAACCCCTAACTGCCTTTCCCTGCTTAGTCCCTCCCAACTGCCCTTCCCTGCTGGCCTGATCACCCATAACTGCCCTCCCCTGCTGGCCATCTTGTGGCAGCCATCTTGTGTCCACATGAGGGTGGCATCTTGTGTTGAGATGATGGTCAATTTGCATAGTACCTCTTTATTATATAGGATGTGAATTAATTACTAACTAAACTTGCTCACTGACCTAAGTCAGTGTGCCCTATATTCAAGTAACAAAATAACAGGTAGTAAAGCAAAACAATAACCCAGGAATGCCTCAAATTCAGTGCCTTGTTGAGAGGGGGCTGTATCTCTCTCCAAACGAACAGGACTAGAGCTGCTATGGCTGCTTTTCTAAATGTTCAGAACCTCCCTCAGATGCCAATCAGCTCAGTCCTCCCAGACAAGGCCACAGCCTCAGTACCTGTCCCTGGGCCAGCACCATAATCCTATCAGAGCCTAGGACTGTATGCAGGCGATGGGCAATCGTCAGCATAGTGCAGTCGGCAAACGCTTCTCGGACGGTCTCTTGGATCAGTTGGTCTGTCTCTGAGTCCATGGCAGCTGTGGCTTCATCTAGAATCAGAATCTGCCAGGGAAGAGAGGAGAAAGAGGATCCAAACAGTTCCTTAAGCATTCTGGTTAATTAAATTTTACTAAAATGTATTTTAGCATTTGAATTTTATACCATATACTAGAGGCCCGGTGCACAAAATTAATGCATGGAGGGTGTGTGAGTCCCTCAGCCCAACCTGCACCTTCTCCAATCCAGGATCTCTGGCTCCTAACCACTCACCCGCCTGCCTGCCTGATCCCCCTCACTGCCCTCTCCTGCTAACCTGCCGCCCTAATAACTTTATTTTTCAATCTTATCCCCTTCATACACAATTGTATTTGACTTCCATATTGGCTTCTCCCTCTCACACAATTTTCCTCTCTCTTTTATGTAACACTTTCTCCTACTGACTCATCATTTATAAACTTTTCTTTCCTCCTTACTTTCCTCCCTCTTTCTTTGTCATCCTACCTTTCCCATACTTTCTTTTCTACTTACTTCTACTGTTTTAATATCTATCTTCCTGCTTAATTATTCACTATCACTTATCTTTTTTTTTCTGACTCCTACTTTTAAAATCTGTCCCCAGTGCACAAGAATACTTGATTTTCATTATAGCTTCTACAATTCACTCATACATCCTCTTTCCTTCTTTAACTCTGCTCTCTACTGACTGCTTTATAAAGTTCTTTCCTCCCTCCTTCCCTTCTTTTTTCTTTTCTTTCACCAGCAATTCTATTGGTTTAGGATGAGCTGCATATGAGGTAATAAAGCCATCTGGAGAAGAGGTGGGGAGGCCCGGAGGCATGGCCAGGCCATTTATCCAGACAAAGTGTCCCCATTTTTGGCATCTCCGGTAGGTAAGGCAAGGCTGGCATTTCCACAGATCCCAGAGCAGATAAGGGGTGGGGGAGAGAGAATGGGTGAAATAGAGAGAGAGAGAGGGAGAGAGAGAATAGTTGTATATGTGTCTGAGAGAGAATGTATATATGTCTATAGAGAAACAATAGTTGTGTATGTATTTATGAGAGAGAAACAGAATAGTTGTGTATGTGTCTATGAGAGAGGATATGAAAGATAGGGTTCTGTGTGTGTTTCTGTGTAAGAAATGGGGAGAGCAAAAGATTGAAAAGAAGGGGAAAAAGGGGTCCCTTAGGGGACCCCTTTCTCCTTGCCATGTAGTAGCTATCACTGAGTCGGCTGGGGTAGAGCGACTCAGTGGTAGCTACTTTTTGCCCTTCTCCATCTGTGCTTCTCCTGTGTCTGGGGCTTGTCCTCTGGATGCCTTTGTCCTCTTGGCAAGAGCCACCTCGTGAGCCCCCACCCTGTGGCCCTGAGGGGTGAGATCAGTTGGATCAGTAGGTCTGTCTGTGGTCAGAATGAATGCTCCCTGGTCCTTCTGTTGGGGACGTCACTGAGGACGGGGTCACAGCCTCCTGCCGGCCGCCGTTTGCCCTCATTTCCTGAGGGCTGTACATCTGGCCTCCCCCGAGGTTATCTCCGGAGCTCCCTGGGCCCATCGAGTGTCGGAGTGATTCCGCCTGGGAAGCAGGGTAGGAACCTCCGTTGAGCCCAAGCATCCCCAGAAACATGTCTCCGGATCCTGAAAGACTGAAAGAGCTGCCAGAACCTGTGGAGGAAGGGGGTGTCAGGGAGCTGGTGCAGCTTTGGCCCCTGGGTGACAGACACGTTGGTCTTGATGTTTGCTTCCTCTTTAAACTTTTCAATATTTTTCTTACAGTGAATCCTGTTGTTGCCAAACCAGCTGGAGACCTGAGAGACGGTGATCCCACACTTCTCCGCAAGCTCCTCCTTAGCCTCCTCACGGGGATACGGGTTACTCAGGTGGGAACAGAAATGCTGGTTTAGGACCTCGGTGGCCTGTTTGCTGACGTTCCGGCATTTCCGTCCGGCATCCAGGAACCGGGAGCACAGGATCACAATGGCCTTGTGGGTGCTCTGCTTGAGCAGCATCTGGATGGCGCTGGACTTACGGTGTGTGATGCTCACCATCGCTCCATCTCCTTGGGTGCCACGGGCCTCTTGTGTCTCTGCTCCCTCAGCAGGTTCATGACGTGGGTCGTGAACTCGTTAGATGCCCACTCATACTTCTCCAGCTCCGAGTGGGAGGCATGCCGGATCTGGGCAAGTTTGCTTGATGGTCTGAGTGTTCGATGGAGGAGTCAGGGGACACACCGCTCCTGGAAGCTGCTGCAGCTGCAGCGGCTGCCACCGAGCCCTCCCACTCCCTTTCTCAGGCTCAGCCACGCCTTCTGCCAGAACATGTTGTCCAAGCACATAAGCTGGGGGTCCATCGGCTCCTTCTCTTGGGAGCTTTGGATGCTGAGGCCGGGCTTCTCCTTGATCTCACACAGGACACTAAAGAGAGCGGGCTGCATTCGGTGGCAGTTTAGGGCGTGTTCCTTGGCCTGGGCTTCGTCCAGGCTCTGGTCCAAGATGGTCATTATCTGCGGCAGAATGTCCCCGATGTGTTGCTTTCCTCAGCCTCTTGGGCACTTCCCACCCACGCTGGGAGGCTCACCAGGGCCCCCAGGCTCCTCACCCACCATCCCCAGGCCCCCAGCTCCTGCCTGGAGGGGGCAACCCCAGCAGCTGCTCGTCCATAGTGGGGGGGGGGGGGCCTGAGGCTCCCTCCCCCACCTGGTTACTTTCCCCCAAACTCACCAGGGCCACTGCTCCCTCTGCCCTGACCCTTGCCCGTCTCTCCCCCACTCTGTCTCTCCTGAGGATTCATCCCGGCTCTGAAGGGAGACCTGACGTACTGGCTGGGCCTCCCACAGGAGACTGGCCCCAGCAGTGGAGAAAATGGAACCAGAGAGAGAGGAGGCCCAGGCGGGGGTGGGGTGTGGGAGTGAGAGGGAGGAGGCCTCCTTCCCTCCTTAAAGCTCATGGCGGGATTGGGCCTAAACAGGCAGTCAGACATCCCTCTCACAATCCAGGACTGCTGGCTTCCTACTGCTCACCAGCCTGCCTGCCTGATTGGCCCTAACTGCTTCTGCTTGCCAGCCTGATCACCCCCTAACCACTCCTGGGCTAGCCTGATCCATGCCTAACTGCTCCCTTGAGGGCCTGATTGCCCCCAACTGCCCTCCCCTGCCAGCCTGGTCACCCCTAACTGACCTCCTTTGCCAGCCTGGTCACCTATAACTGTCGTCCCCTGCTGGCCTGGTCACCCCTAACTGCCTTCCCCTGCCAGCCTGGTCACCCCTAACTGCCCTCCCCTGCCAGCCTGGTCATCCCTAACTGCCCTCCCCTGCAGGCCATCTTGTGGCAGCCATCTTGTGTTGGAGTGATGGTCAATTTGCATATTACTCTTTTATTAGGTAGGATTATTTATGATTCTCTCTCATCACTGATGTTTCTATTTCTCCCTCTCTTCTCTGAAATCAATAAAAACATATATATATATATATATATATATATATATATATATCACACACACACACACACACACACACACACACACACACACACACATATATATATATATATATATATATATATATATATATATATAAAACCCACAACAACAGCCCACCCATATACCAAAATTATGTCAAGGTTAATTCAGAAACACCTCTGGGCATTCTCTTAAAAGTGCCACTGGGCAGGGAGCCTGGAACACCTTCAGACCACGTGCCAAAGGGAAGGGTGTTCCTCCACCTCCCTGATCTCTCCTGCCCCTCCCCTCCCTTTCCCCAGCTCCCCCCACACCGCCGCACCTTGCAGTGACGGAGCAAGGCTCTTGCTATGCATAAGAGCTGGCGTTCTCCCACTGAGAAGTTCTCTCCATTCTCTAGCACTTCAGATTCAAGTTTCAGAGGTAGCTGAGCAATCTAGGAAGAAAGAAAGCAGAAATGAGAAGGGTCAAAAATTAAAGTGAGGGGGGGGAAAAACCCTAACTTTTGTCAAAAATCCAGTAGCAAAGGTAAATTATTCTGGAACAGAAGAAGGAATACTAGCTGAGAACCTGGCTCACCTAGAAAGAAGGAACAGGTGTGATGGCCACATGACCAGGACTCAGGTTTCCTATTTCAAATATACCATTCTGTTAGTCTCCTACTCTCAAAACGTCCCAGAAATTCCAATATTTTCATGTCCCCAAATCCTGGCAGATAGTGATTTTAAGTTTTGAGCCACTGAAAAAGATGGTCATGCAATAGGAAAAAGGGAAAACAAAACTGCTGTCTTTCTTAAGTCTAAAGCTGTAGGCCCATGGCTGTCAAACTTTTCTTTTTGTAAGCTATGCAGCCTAGTCTTCAAATAAAATTATTTGAGAAAGCTCAACCTGCCGAAACCGGTTTGGCTCAGTGGATAGAGCATTTGCCTGCGGACTGAGAGGTCCCAGGTTCGATTCTGGTCAAGGGCATGTACCTTGGTTGCGGGCACATCCCCAGTAGGGGGTGTGCAAGAGGCAGCTGATCGATGATTCTCTCTCATCGATGTTTCTAATTCTCTATCCCTCTCTCTTCCTCTCTGTAAAAATCAATAAAAAAATATTTTAAAAAAAGCTTCAAAAATATAAAAAATAAAAAAAAAAGAGAGAGAGAGAGAGAGAGAGAGAAAGCTCAACCTAAAAGAGATAAAAGCAGAGCTGCTCTAATTGAGTTAGGACAAGGGATCCTGAGTGATTAAGCAGAGGCACGGACACCCTCCTCCTGGTGAGGGATATCCATCTGTAGACTGTGGCCCCTGGAGGGGCCTGCCGAGCACTCTGCGGAGATCTGTGAATCCACGGGCCGATTGCATGCTTTCTGCAGACTCAATAAGTGAGATATCTCTTGCCCATAGGAAGCCTGTTATATTGTTATGATGAATAAAATAGAAGTTAATGTAAAAGCATGACTGAATTCTGAGTAGTTGTCGTTGACATGTCTTCAGTCAATGGGTGGTAAAAAGGGTAATATGCTCACGGGCGTGGGGGTATAGGGAGGAGGTGGAGGCCAGAAATATCAACCGTTATGCCCTTTCTGGAATGTCTGGGAAGTCCTGCTCAGAGGGTTCCTCCACGGATACCCTGGAGGTGGAGGACAGAACAGGCTGGACCGAGGCCGCCGGGCAGGACGGGCAGTGCCCACAGCATCGCTCGCCCGTGGTTCTCTACTTACACATTCCTTCATGTGCGTCCTCTCCAGGGCGACCCAGATCTGGGCTTCCGTGTACTGGCTGAAGGGATCCAAGTTTGATCTAGAGAGAAACACAAGAGGAATGTCTCAGGGATCCTTCACGTGCGCAGCCACACTGCACAGGCTGTCCGGGCTAAAAGTCTAAACAAGCACGGGAAACGGCCTTGAACCCGCTAAGGTCACAGAGGGCTCATCCTCTAAGCAGCCAGAGGCGAGCGCTGATGCCTGCCCAGGCAGGACGACCTCTGAGAACAGAATTTCTTTTTTATAAAATGTTAAGCCAGACCGGTTTGGCTCAGTGGATAGAGCATCGGTCTGTGGACTGAAGGGTTCCTGGTTCAATTCTGGTCAAGGGCATGTACTTTGGCTGCGGGTACATCCCTGGTGGGGGGTGTGCAGGAGGCAGCTGGTTAATGTTTCTCTTTCATCGATGTTTCTTTCTCTTTCTTTCTTTCTTTCTTTCTTTCTTTTTCTTTCTTTCTTTCTTTCTTTCTTTTTTTTTTTTTTTTTTTTTTTTTTTTTTTTAAATATATTGATTTTGTACAGAGAGGAAGGGAGATAGTTAGAAACATCGATGAGAGAGAGTCATCGATCAGCTGCCTCTTGCACACCCCCTACTGGGGATATGCCCACAACCAAGGTACATGCCCTTGACCGGAATCGAACCCGGGACCTTTCAGTCCCCAAGCCGACGCTCTATCCATTGAGCCAAGCCGGTTTCGGCTCATTGATGTTTCTAACTTTCTGTCCCTCTCCCTTCCTCTCTGTAAAAAATTAATAAAATATATATTTTTTAAAAAGTTAAGAAATAATTATAAAATTAAGAAATATAGATATGCAAATCACAAAACACAAACCAAAGCATGTTTTAATCATCTCTAGTCAGATCCATAGAAACAAAAGGTATGTTGGCCTATATGCTAGATTCTTTCCTAGCACATACGTGTTAAAATACATCTCCCTACATGCACAGGGAAATGTTCTTTGTTCCTGTGCACCAGGGGGAGAGCAGGGACCTGACAGCTCGCTGACCTGGAAAATGAGCCAGCCTGCCTGACGCAGCGGAAGGCAGAGGGAACGAGAGAGAGGAAAGGGCAACCAAAGAGGAAGGACTTCCTTTCATCTGGCTTAGAAAACCAGGTTGGGGACTATTCCTGCTTACTGTCCCCACAGGATCTGCCGCATGGACACCACGGATATGGCAATGGGACCAGGCACTGCTGGAAAAGTTAAAGACAGGACAAACAGCTCTCAGTCACGGAGGATGAGGGTAGAGGAATGGTGGAACAGATATTGGGTGGAAATGGGATGTTACACTGATGGGGGGAGTCTTGTCTCAATCTCAACACGAAGTTTTGTTAAGTCTAGTCATCGGAAAGGGGTTAGGTTACAGTTTGCTTTGTTCATAACTCCTGCTTGGTGGGTGGGAAAATCTTTGGGGGAACCTCAGCTCTGTGCCATGTCTGTGTCCATGTCTGGGGCCACTAATTCCAGGCACGCGAACGCAAGCAGAATCACATCACAGAGGAGCTCTGCACGAGTGGAGGAGCTGGCAGACGCACACCACGTCCACGTCTTCTGCCCGACCCTGCTCTCGGTGCCCCAGGCCCTTTGCACAGACGCCCTCTCTCTGCCTGCAGCATGCTCACCTTGTACTGGAGAGACACTGGTAAAAACTAGGACTCGGGAGCCAGACTGCCCGATTCCTATACAATGTCTATCACTCACAACTGTGCGTGCTTGGCCGCGTCAGCCTAACGACTCCACATTCCAGTTCCTCACGTGCAAGACGGGATAGACCATCTCCTCAGAGGTGCGGTGACGACTGAGTGTGGCCACCGCGTTGCGTGTGTGTGCAGCACTGCGGGAGCACCTGCTGCAGGACGGGCACGGTGTGTGTGACGGCGACTGTTACTGTGGCTTTACCTCTGGGCTATGATTCCTTCTTGTCCTTCAGGTCTCAGCTCAGATGCTACCTTTAGGAAGTGTCTCCTGAGCCTTCAAGCCTGGATGAGGTGTCTCTATGCTCATCCTTATGGCACGCATCACCCCATTCCTCTGTCTCTCTGCCTGGATCTTGTTCACTGTTGTATCCCATGTATACCATCTAGTACTTTTTGTATAAATAAAATAATTTATTCCTATCATTAATGGACTCATAAAAGGTATTAATATGTCACTATTTTAAAAAAAAAATTTCTTTATTAAGGTATCAGGTATTTGTCCTCAACCCCCCATTTCTATCCCCCACCCCCCACTCATTCCCCTACCTCCTATTGTCCTCGACCACTGGTTAGACTCTATGTATGCACATAAGTCCTTTGATTGATCTCTCCCTCTTATCCCCACCCTCCCTTTGAGGTCCAACAGTCTGGCTCCTTATCTCTGGGTCTGTACTTGTTTTAAAAAAAATATTTTTATTGATCTCAGAGAGGAAGGGGGAGGAAGAGATAAAAACATCACTGATGAGAAAGAATCTTTGATTGGCTGCCTCCTGCACACCCCACACTGGGGATTGAGCCCACAACCTGCACATGTGCCCTGACCAGGTATTGAACTTCCTGATTCATAGGTTGATGCTCAACCCCCACTGAGCCAGGCTGTCACAACTTTTAAGTATTTTCTGTAATAACAGAGGCAAAGAGCACTTCGTGGAGGGAGAGTGTGTACACACAAAGAATACAAACAGAACTGAGGTCAATCCCTGCTCGGCCTCCTACCATCTGCATGACTTTGGACAAATTACTCCTCAGTTTTCTCTTCTTCAATAAATTCTAATTCTCTTCTGACATTGCTTATTTGACCTTGTTATTTCAGTAGCCAAAGGTAATGACTGGATCAACAGATCCAGTCTACACTGTCCAAATTCATTAGTGTTCTAGAGAAATGCCAAAATAAACACACCCGGGAATGTTGACCATACATGAAAGTAGGTGAGAATTCAGTTTACCTACCAAACCTCCCTGAATGAGTGAGTTCAAATGCCATGCAGACAAATGTGAACACTGCCCTTGGTTATTTGAAATTAGATTAGTACCATTTTTTTTAAACTGCTGAAATTAAAGAGGAAATATTACTTTCAGAGTGATTAAAAAAAAGAAGTCCTGCCCTGTCTGGCTCAGTGGATAGTGTGTCGGCCTGTGGACTGAAAGGTCCCTGGTTCGATTCCCAGTCAAGGGCACATGCCTGGGTTGTGGGCTCGATTCCCAGTAGGGGTGTGCAGGAGGCAGCCGATCAATTATTCTATCTCATCATTGATGTTTCTATTTCTCCCTCTCCCTGCCTCTCTGTAATCAATAAAAACGTATTAAAAAAAAAAAGTGAAGTCCTATTTGGGTTCCTTATATAGTAAAACTATTTTATTTAGAAAGAGAAGCAACATGAATAGGAATAGACACAAATAATGGAAACCCATTATTTTTAGGAGGCAAAGCTTAAGGCTAAAGGTAGGATAAATTATAAGGAAGGAAAATGGGATTCAATATATTTCCTTCTTACGATTTTATCAGGTCAAGAAGAATTTTATCTTTGGCATGCTGGCAGATTGCAAGAGAGGTATCATTCCAGAGCATTACAGGTGGGAAAAATACTGGAAAACGGAAAAACATGAGTAGTAATAATGCCTGGAAACCATCGTTAGAATTGCGACTTGGATTGCACTGAGGAGAGAAGAGCATGGAGGACGGAGGAAGATGGTGACAAGAACGATAATGGTTCTACCGTTATTGAATGTCCATCGTTTGCTAGGCTCTGTGCTTGTATAATTTGTATGAACTGATTCACTCTTGACAATTACAGGTCTTAATAACATCCCCATTTCATGGATGAGGAAACAAGTGTAGGAGTGGTCAAGTAGCTTGTCCAAAGTGGCAGAGAAAGACCTGAGCCCAAATCTCTCTGACTTCCCCCCCGCCTGCTGCAGGCCTCCGAGCCCCGCCGTGTGACTGAGGTGCGCTCTGGAGTGGGAGGAGCACTAGACTGGGAGCTCCCTAGATCTCAGTCCCAGACGGAGGCTCTTACATGCCCGCCTGGCTTTGAAATGAGGACAAACACATGGGCACTCAGGTCCTCACCTGACAGTGCCACTGAACAGCACTGGCTCTTGAGGAATGATGGAGAGTTTGCTTCGGAGGTCAGCAAGGCCAATGTCACTGATTCTCACTCCGTCAATCTTGATGCAGCCTCCGGACAGCTCCACCAGGCGGAAGAGGGCCATCCCCAGGGAGGACTTCCCTGATGAGTGAGACGGGCAGAGGAGTAGCTCATTAGCAACTTTTGAAACTGGTTTATTCTCAGGGCAAAAATCACCTACTTTTCCGTTTCTATGCAGTCATTATTGCAACTGATTAACTCAGGAAATTATAAAATGATAGAAACAGGAACACACACACACACACACACCCTATCACCACCACCAAACAGAAAACACGATGAATTTTTCCTGAACTACTAAGCATATACATTTAAATCACACAGCTCAGTCCGAGAAGGAATGGGCAGGACCATTACACTCTCATGAGAGTAAAATGGAAAAATGCCTCCTTTTCACCTTAGGAACAGGTGCACAGTGTTTAATGCTTCTCAGCAAAATGGGAGAACAGCTGTCTCATGGCAAGGAGCTAGGGCAAACCAGGGGACAAGAGGCACCCTCTTTTGTCCCTTTGATGTACCTGAGAGAGGAAAGACAAGGCCTTCCATCGCTGTAGCAGCAGCTGGGGGATGGAAGAAGCTGTGTGGTAGGAGGCTTTGGACTGAGCCAATGAGCGGCTGGAGGTGACCCTGCCCAGACAGGGAACTGTGGCAGAAAAGCAGCTTTGGGGGCGAAAACAATGCGTGCATTGTCACTGTGACAAGCAGAACAGCTGTTCTGACTGGAATCTTCATGTTAAGTTATATAAGTAATTCAAGAACATCAATCTCTCATAATCACTACTGTTATTTTATGACACACTTCCTTTTAGTCTTTTTCTGAGTTAAGAGCATACCAGAGACACGATGTTGTAATGGATTTTCCCACAAACATAACAAACATCCAACCATATTATTAACTTGTCAGGATAAAAATTTGATGGCTGCAGTACAGTCCATACTGTGTATATACTCTTAACTCATCTAGCCTTCTAATGTGGGATGTGTAGTTTATTTAAAACGTATTATTATAATGTTACTAGAGGCCTGGTGCACAAATTTGTGCACGGGTGGGTCTGTACAGCCCATCCAGGTCAGCTGGAGGGAGGGGATGCAGAAGGCTGGCCAGGGAAAGGGCCATGGGTGATTGGCTAGCTGGCCCCTCCCCCTGGTTAAACTCCTGGTCAAGGGGGCAATTTGTATATTAGCCTTTTATTATATAGGATAGGATAGGATAGGATGACTTCCTTGGGATAGATTCTCAGAATTGAAACTACTCTGTCAAAACATTAAACATTAAAAAGCTCTAATGCTCCCTACACCCCCAAAATAGCTTGACACAGTGCTGACTATCTACTTTCTTGCAGATCAGGCCCATGGTTTAGATCGAGAACTACAGGAATTCAGCTGTTAGACCACACTGCTCACCCACTTTTGTCTCCACACTCTGAAAGACCTCTCACGAGAGCCACATGACTTCATCTACTCAGTGGTCACTGAGGGTACAACTATCCTGCCTTGGCCGAGTCTACAGCCACATCCCTGCTGTCAATATTGTTCCCTAATGGGAACCTAGAGAAATGTCCACCTTCCTCAGGCAGGACTCCATCCCATCTACCAGAAATGCATTGGGAACCCAAGCCCATGCAGCAGGGCAGATGTTAAGGAGGCCTTCTCCTCCTAAAAGAGACTGGCTGTAGTCAGGATTGGGGTGGGCTGGTGAGTGGCCCCTTCCCCAGGAAGTGGTGGGGGAGAAACTCTCCCTCAGTGCCAAGGCAGCAGTTTAAGATCCAGACTAAGAAAGGAATGTTGCTCCATCTTAATAAAAGATGCCTCGGTTTGGAACACCTGGACTGGGAGACTACAGTTTTTTGAATCTCTGACAGAATGTGCTGGTAAAATAGGCAAAAAGTCCTCACAACCACAGCAGGGCCAGACTCTAGGAGCCTTGGAAGAAGCAAACTAGGATTAGAGTCTAGACTTTGTAAGTCAAGGCTATTTATGATTACGTTATTTTTCTTGTTTATTTCTCTTCTGCCACTACTCATGGTTTACTCAAGTCGTGGTGAAATTTTCAATCTGTTGCCGAAACCGGTTTGGCTCTGTGGAAAGAGCATCGGCCTACAGACTGAAAGGTCCCAGGTTTGATTCCGGTCAAGGGCATGTACCCTTGGTTATGGGCACATCCCCAGTAGGGGGTGTGCAGGAGGCAGCTGGTCTATGTTTCTCTCTCATCGATGTTTCTAACTCTCTATCTCTCTCTCTTCCTCTCTGTAAAAAATCAATAAAATATATTTAAAAAAAAATTTTTTTTTCCAGTCTGTCTTACTCGTGTAAAAGGGAAACACAGAAGGGACACCAGTCAGAACTCTTGGGAGAGCAGGGCACCCCAGGGAGCCCGAGGGGAGAGCAGAGTGAGAGCTGTGGCAGCTGCCCTCCCTGGCTAAGCATGCTCTTGCCAGTGCAAAACACCTTCTTGCTTTGACATGAAGTACTTCCTTCAAACAGGGAGCAGGAAATGACTTTTTCTTTTCTTCCTGGCAGGTTCTTTAAAGTAAATGGGCCACATTCAGTGTGGCTCAATGGATTGGGTGTCATCTCATGCATCAGGAGGTTGCCAATTTGATTCCCAGTCAGGGCACATGCCTGGGTTGTGGGCTTGATCCCTAGTTAGGGGTGTGGGGGAGGCAACCTATTGATGTTTCTCTCTCTCTCTCACCAATGTTTCTCTTTCTCCCTCTCCCTTCTGCTCTCTGAAATCAATAAAATCATATTTTAAAAAATCTACGTAAGTCAGAATGGGGTCAAATCTGGCTTTTCTACCTGTTAGCTTGACAGGCTGAGATCTCTGAGTGCAAAATGGTAACAACCCTAACCGGTTTGGCTCAGTGGATGGAGCGTTGGCCTGCAGACTGAAAGGTCTCTGGTTTGATTCTAGTCAAGGGCATATACCTTGGTTATAGGCATATGTTTCTCTCTCATTGATGTTTCTAACTCTCTATCCTTCTCCCTTCCTTTCTGTAAAATATAAATGAAAAAGACAGACAGACAGACAGTAGGGTGGTGAAGGGGGTGGGGCAGGAACTGGATGAAGGAGGGCAATAGGGTGGGGGAACATCTGTAATACTCTCAACAATAAAAAAAATTTTTAAATGAAAAAAAAAAAAAAAGTAAATGGGCCAGAAAAGATGCCAGGTGTGGTTTTTTTGTGTGTGTTGTTTGTTCTTGTTTTTTAACGACAAGAAAAAAAGCTAGAAGAATTCTGATGGAAAGGAATATGAAGCCCAGAAAGCTTATAAGAACTGCCTCAGAGAAACCCCTATACAAGGGCAAAGAGTGTGAAAGGAGACAAGACACAATTTTGAAACGTTATTCAAGAAGAAAAGAGGGAAAGAAAGAAATTACTGAGGTCTTGACCCTAGAAGTCCAGGTCAGTGCACTTCTAAGCACGAGTGAGGTGAAATGCCCAAAAGGAAGGCCTATTCTCCAGTTCTTTGCAACTGATGTCAGAACACAAATCGCGTTTCTGTCTCCAAAGGGACAGAGGCTCCTTGTGGAGAGCTGGGTTAGCCTCTGATGAACGTGGGGCCACCCGGGCCATACGTCACAGAGACCGCGAACACCCGGCGTCACAGTGGGAGAAGTCCCTTGCAGGGCTCTCCCGAACAGGCAACCTGGCAGCCACCTCAGTGCCCACGACTCGAGCTTATTCAATATAAACTTCGGAGGCCCATAAAACAGGATTTCACGTCGTGCTGCGTAGAAATCACGCCGGGAGCAGGAACTGGCATGGAAAATACTCGCTGGCTTTGAAAGCAGGCCATGAAACAGTGAGTGAAAATGACCTCATTTTTGTAAACATATTTGTTGATAGAAAACACCTGGAAGATACCCGCTAAAATGTTAACAGTAATTATCCCTGCTCCGTGGAGTTAAGGGTGCGCTTCCCCTTTGTGTAATTTGCCATATGCTCCACGTGTTCCACAGTGAGGATGTGTACTTTTATGACTGGAAAAAACACAGTGTGTTAGAAAAGCAGGGTTTGAAAATAATCCTAGAGAAGTGGTTTCAGTGAGACCTGAGACAGTAACAGTGCATGTCCTGGGGACCTGGTTAGAAGGGATGCGAGTGATAGTCGATAAGCAATACACATGGGCAGCAGACTGAACTCTGACAGGGTCCTTACCCGACCCCGTCCGCCCCACAATGCCAATCTTCTCCTTGGGTTTGATGATGAAGGACACTTTCTTTAGGACCAGAGGCAGATTTTCTTGGTACCTCATCTCCGCGTTCTCAAAGGTCACCTCTCCTTCCTGCGGCCAATCAGGCGGGGGAGCCTTGTTCTTGATTCTGGCAGGTGCTTCCAGAGAGAGAGTCTGGGGAGACAGAGGCAGCCAGGTCAGATCCGGGACTCTGTTGTAGAGAAGTTAAACAAGGACATCCACAGCCGCTACACAGTGGTAGCCCTGGCCCCTTGCTGTGAAAGATCCCTTAGATAGGGACAGAGTACGATGGCTACTAATTCTGCAGTGGCTACGATTACGCAGCAGCTGAGCAGGGCACTGACTTTCAAACTGCCTCCTGTCTTGAGGAATTCTTCCACAAAACTGCCTTGGAGGCCAAGGGTGGAGCCATGAGCCCTTCTAGTCCTCTTCAGCCCTGCAATTTTTATTGGAATTCTTTGAAAATATTACACTCCAAACAGGACTCTGCCATTTGGAAACCACTGGCTTAAATCCAAAGAAAGGTAATAACATCTATTGAACATGTCATCAGCCCTGGCTGGTGCTGCTCAGTGGATGGAGTCTCAGGTTCCATTCCTGGTCAAGGGCATGTAACTGGATTATAAGTTTGATCACCGACCCTGGTCAGGGCGTGTGCAGGAGGCAACCAATAAGTGTGTCACTTACATCGATGTCTCTCTCTCTCTTTTCCTCTCTCTCTCATTCTCTCTCTTTCCTATCTTCCACTATCTATCTATATATATATATAAAAGGCTAAGTGACCGACTGTACATCTGCCTCACTGTCCAGTACATATGATGCGCACTGTCAATTTAAAAATGTTGACTTGCATGTGCACGATACACAGACAGCTCTCGCTGATGCCAGTCTCACGCGTGTGTTTTGACCTGTCATTGTCGATCGTGAATTTGACTGTTTTTGTTGACATTCTGAAGCTGAGAGAAAGTGGTGTCATCGACAGAATTATTGGCACAATGTAGCTTTGACACTTCTGTTATAGAGAAAAGGCAAATAGCAATATTAAAATATTTTTTTCTAATTAATTTCCTTTCAATGTGCACGAATTCGTGCACTGGGCCACTAGTCTCCAAAATAAATGGAAAAAATATTCTTGGGTGACGATTAACAAAAAATAATAATAATATTGAACCTGTAATCAGATCCTGGCATCCTGACATATCTGCCAATCCAGGAGAAATAGACTCTAATCCTAATCCTGCCACTAACAGCTGTGTGACTGGACACATCCCTTCTTCACTCTAGGTCTTAGTTTCTCATTTGCAAATTGTGGGGACTGGATTAGATAATCTTAAAAATCCATTCCATTCCCCCTCCCCTCTCTTTTTTTATTAAGGTATTATATGTGTACATACCTTACCAATCCCCACCCCCCGCACCCCCATCCATTCCAGCTTTAAAATTCTGTGTTTAATATAACGGCTTGTAATTTTTGTTATCAATAGTTAAATCTTGCAATATTTTAAAACTTTCTGGCGACTAGTCATGGGCTTACAGCCTTCTAGGGAAAGTAAGTAAGGGCTTCGTTAAAAGACTACTGTCGGGGTGAGGGTGTGGAGACTGAATTCAAACACTCCAAGCTGGAAGGGTCTGTGTTGGGACAGGCATCCAGGTTGAGGACTGGCAGTGGGAAGCCAGCCCTTAGAAATATGACTGGTCTATGCAGGATTTACGCTGTACTACTGCCAGTCCCCAGCCTGGGGCTGACAACCCACCCCCACCTCTTCAGCCAGAGACTCACCAACAGTGAGTAAAGCAAACACTATGTATTCGTATAGACAACCATGTACCATCCCCAGACCAGAGCACTGGGCGACGAGGCTAGTGGATAAACCTAAGGAACAGCTATTAGCACTTATATTAGATTGCCATTCTTTCCCAGAATAATCATTCGTAAGTTTGAGAAATATCCTATGACTAATGAGGCCCTTGTCAAAACAAGCTGGCGAACATGTCTCTGCGAGAAAATGCAGTTTATGTAACACACTAGTTCACAAATGAATGGCAAGTTTTTCTCAACACTATGCTTGTAAATCATTATTTGGAAGTTGGAATGTATTCTTCCCATATAAACAATGATAGAAATGCTGACAAAGCCCTAGCCGGTTTGGCTCAGTGGACAGAGCACTAGCCTGTGGACTGAAGGATCCGGGTTCGATTCCAATCACGGGCACATGACCAGGTTACGGGCTTGATCCTCAGTAAGGGGTGTGCAGGAGGCAGCCAATCAGTGATTCTCTCTCATCGTTAATATTTCTCTCTTTCCTCTCTCTGAAATCAATAAAAATATATTTTTTTAAAAAGAAAAAAAAAAATACATAGTTTTATACAATGCAAAAAAAGAAAAAGAAAATGCTACATTAGCCAGCCTAACAAAGTTTGAAACATTTTAGAAATGAGCTGATGAACGTAAGTTCTCAATTAGACGTTTCACAATAGATTTAGAAACTCTTATGCTAATTCCTTCTCCACTCCACGCCTGCTGGAGAGACCGCCAGGCCTCTCCCGAGGGACGAGAAGGCAGGAAGACATGCTGCCTCCTTGCACATCCACCCGAGGCAGGAAAAGGGTAAGACGCCTCCATGGAGGGTGAGGTCGCAGTCTGACCTTGATGTAGTAGTTGATCCTCTCCACGGAGGTGAAGCGAGCTTCTGTCTCGATGGCCAGTCTGACGGTGAACTGGAACAGCCCCGTTAGCTGGCGGTGAGAAGCAGAAATGCAGGAGAGAGTTCATTATCGATGCCAACGCTAGAAAGCCTCCTGCATCTAGGGGACCACAGCTGAATCGTAAGAACTGGGCACATTCAGCAGCTGGTTTTAGAAACATTTAAGACAATGCCCGTTGCACCCCCACCCCTCAGTCATCTGTAATTCTCTGTGAACGCAGGTGGCATCGTGGTACTGATGACACTAACGATCTTACATCCAACGGCTTTCCACCATCTCTGCGTGTCCAGTAACACGTGTCTGAAGCTGCATACTTGTACCTGCACCTGCTGTGGCGGACACAGCGAATCAACCTGTGAGCAGCCAGTGGGCAGGCTTCCAGGAAAGCCAACAAAGGGAAAGAAGGCTGAGCAGAAAGTGCTGGCAGGGCCCCTGTGCAGTCAGACGAAGGATTCTACTACCGCCCATCCAAAGATGAGGGGAGTCTGCAGAGCATGGACAGCTTTGGGGTATCTGTATAGATACATGTACGTATCCCTTCTCGGGTTTCTTTGGCTATTTTTTAGTGTACCTCTCCAATATGGAAAAACACCAAAAGTGAACAAGAGGAGAGAGGACATTATAATAAACTCCCATGTACTAAACATCCGTCTTAAAAAATGGTCAACTCACAGATAATATTGTTTCCTTTATATTACCTCATCCTTCTATATTATTTGTAAGCAAATCCAAGCTATCCTATTATTTCATCCATAAATATTCCAGCTTATATCTCTCTAAAATATAAAATCTTTAAAAGCACAATACCATTATTCAATACCATGATGACATCCAAAAAATTAATAATAATTCCTTAACATCTTCAAATACCTAGTCGGCGCTCAAGTTCCCAGTTGTTTTTTGAGCTAAAAACCAAAAACCATTCCTAGAGACCAGAAAGCTTTTCACATGTAACAGTATTGGGGGGGAAAAGCAGGCGCCTCAGGGAAAAATGCACATAAGAAGCAAATAGAGTATTTCTTTGAAGACATGAAGAGGCCAGAGATGACAGGATGGTGAATTCAGAAATTTACAATTAAAAAACTATTTTCAAAAACACCTTTATTAAGAAAATAGCACCTATTTCTTAAAACACTTGCAACAGTCTTAAATCCCTTTATTCCTATACTAGAGGCCTGGTGCACGAAATTCATGCATGGGGAGGAGGTTGTCCCTCAGCCCAGCCTGCACCCTCTCCAATCTGGGAACCCTCGGGGGATGTCTGACTGCCCGGTAGGATTGGACCTAAACAGGCAGTCAGGCATCCCTCTCATAATCCAGAACTGCTGACTCCCAGCCACTCTCCTGCCTGCCTGCCTTATTGCCCCTAACTGCCTCTGCCTGCCTACCTGCCTGATCATCCCCTAACCACTCCCCTGCTGGCCTGATTGCCCCCTAACTGCTTGCTCCCCCTCACTGGCCTGATCTCACCCCTAACTGCTTGCTCTCCTGCTGGCCTTATAGCTCCTAACTGCCTCTGCCCCCGCCACCATGACTTTGTCCAGAAGGAAGTCGGATGTCTGGAAGATGTCCGGTCAACCTGGTCTATTTAGCACATTCCCTTTTATTAGTATAGACTAGAGGCCCGAAATTCGTGCACAAAATTCATGCATGTGTAGGGTCCCTAGGCCTGGCCAGTGATCAGGGCCAATGGGGCCTTCTGGCTGCCAGCCAGAGCCTGCCTTCATTCTGCGCGGCTCCCTGGTGGTCAGCACACATCATAGTGAGCAATCAAACTCCTGATCTTTTTGGTAGAACTCCCAAGGGAACACTTAGCATATTAGCCTTTTAGATAGATAGATAGATAGATAGATAACCACCCCTCCCGCCCTCCCAGCCTCCTGTCTCAGATGGTTACTATAAAGCAGTCTGCAGGGCACTCTGGGAGTCAGAGGTGAAACAGTGACTTAGGGTAGAGGCCCCTCCCATGCCTCTCCTAGGCCAACACAGGAAGGACTCAAAGGAGCAAAGGTGATGATGCCCCATCCCAGAGACTGACCTGGACAGCGTAGGAGATGGCGAGACCAGCATAGGCCGGGGAAATTCGCCCATGCATGAGAACGACCATCAGCGCCGTGGTGGAGATCAGGAAGATGCTGATCAGGTCGAGCCGCACGCCTAGCCATCGCATTGCGCACGTGAATAGGTAGAAAGGACTTTGGTTGTGGTCCAGCAGCTCCTGGTACCTGTGAGGAAGACAGAACTGCTAATAGGCAAATAAGGAACCAGGTGGCCCTGGTCATGGATGATGTCAAAGCTCTGGTGAATTATGGACGGGGGCTAATACTTCAGTATTTTCTGTTTGTAATAAAGAGAATGATATGGAAACTTGAAGAGCACGGAGCACTCCATGTTCCACAGACAGGAGGACATGGGGTTTTCTAGCTTTACCCTTTAAAAGAAACGTACTTGAAGATGGTAGGGGAAAATTCCTACTTTAACAGCATAGGGAAAGTAGGGGGAAGGAGATCAAATAAAGAGGCTTTGCTAGACATCAGAAAAAAATGTCATAGGTTAGGGGTCATTTTCTCACAGAAATAAAGGTTACAAGGCAAACTGTAGAAATGGACCAAAGCCAGGACAAGGAAACTCTCAGAATGAACACAGTAAAGTGGAAATTGTTGCTGACACACCATCACTGGGCAGAATGGTACTGTTTGCCACGGTCATGGAACAAAGAGCCAGGGGCTGAACCACAACAAGCAAATACACAGACAATCTTTGCCAATGGAGGAGGGGACACACCCCTGTCTCAAGGGGCCTAGAGAGCAGACGAGACCCCATCTGGAGTCCATAACCAGGATTCCAGAGCAGCAAGTCTTTCTAACAAACGTGCTTTGCTTTTAAAAAATCACATTTCTTCCTTACAATAAGATAATGTGCTCTTTAGAGAAAATTAGAAAATGCACTAAAGGGAAAAATGCAAAAGCCCACAACTTTACCAGTTAAAAGCAGAGATAATATCTGACTGCATTTCCTTCCAGCACTTTTTCAATGCACTTACATGTACATGTATATACACACATGCATAAACACACTTGTACGTAGTCAGTATATTTTCTTCTTTTTCCCTGAAAATTAAGGTTATTTTTCTACATTGTTTAGTTTATTTTTTTTTACTCTAGGTTAAAAAAATTAACTGCTTAATTTTTGGAATAGACAATATATGCACAAGACAGACTATTTAAAGGGTACACAAGTTTTACCATGAAAAGCCAGTTTTTTTCCAGTCCATTCTCCAGCTACCCCATTCCCCTTTTCAGTAGCTATTTGTTTCTTATGTATCCTTTCAGAGATATTCTACATGTTACATATACAAACACACTTAAAAGGGAGAATAGCATAGACACATTGGTACCTTGTTCTTTCACTAATATATCTGAGAAATCATTCTAGCCGGGACCGGTTTGGCTCAATGGATAGAGCGTTGGCTTGGGGACTGAAGGGCCCCGGGTTCGATTCCGGTCTAGGGTATGTACCTTGGTTGCAGGCATATCCCCAGTAGGGGGTGTGCAGGAGGCAGCTGATCGATGACTCTCTCATTGATGTTTTTAACTCTCTGTCTTTCTCCCTTCCTCTCTGTACAAAAATCAATAAAATATATTAAAAAAAAATTATTCTAGATCAGTACCTTTAGAGCTGCCTCATTTTTTTATTTCTATTTTTTTGGTTTTGTTTTATTAATTTTAGAGAGAGAGAAAGATATCATTTTGCTGTTCCACGTATTCATGGACTCATTGGTTGCTTCTTGTATGTGCCCTGACCAGGGATCAACCCACCACCTTGGCGTTTTGGGATGATGCTCTAATCAGCTGAGCTATGTGGCAGGGCTTGACTCATTTTTTGAAAGGCCTCACAATATTCCACTCTACAAGGACACTGTAGCTCCTTTAACCAGCCCTCTGTTGAATGACTTTGTTAGTTCAGTGGTTCCCAGCCTTTTTTATGGCCATGCCCCACCTAAGCATCTCTAAAATCCCGATACCCTCCCATATAATTCTTATTATTCAAGAGCGAACTCCTATTTACGTGGAGGAAACCTAAAAGGCCATTAACTTGGTCTACACGAGTTTTCAAACAACATCTATGAAAGAGAAAAATAAAACAACGAAGTACTGTCCAGTTGAAGTACTGAGGAAGAAATCACTAAGAAATTGTTGAAAAAATAATAAGTGATATAAAAAAAAATAGCAAATAAAGTTTCAAAACATAAAATAGAGGACTGAGTGCATAAATATGTCACAAATATTTATATACTGTATATGAGGCCCGTAGAATCATAAGAAATGAAAAATATTAACAGTTAATAACTCATTCTCAAATTGCCCCCCTTAATAATTGAATTACCCTTCTGTGGGGCGTATGCTCCATGTTGGAAATCACTGAGTTAGTTCTAATCTCTTGTTAATACAAATCTCTACAACGATTAGGTACCTAAAAATCTCATATAAACAATATTCAATCAAATAAAATGTCAGTCTAGCATCAATGTCTGTCTTTTACAGTTCAAAAAAAAAACAAAACCCCACAGCAAAACTCCATCAAATATGGTCATTCAGGACCAAAAGTCACGGATTCCAAATCTGAGTTTTTGTCTTCTCATTTGCTGAGAAGGGAGTTCCACCAAGGGAGTGAGCTTTAATCAGAGACAATTAAATCACTGGTGAGGAGAGTTATAACCCCCTATTCTTATACTCTGATTAAATTCAAGGATGCTGGCTATGCTTGAGCCTTTTGGCCCCCCTCAGCGCTCACCTGTGCAGAAACTCCTGCCCCTTGTTGTAGGCATGGATGGTGGCAAGGCCCTGTATGCTGGATGTGATGTGGGAGAGGAAAGGTGACTGCGTGATGTTGTCCAGACGCTTCAGCTCTCGAACCAGGACCCTGGAGAGAGAAGGAGTTCTGCGTCAGAGGGTGGACAGCAACTCCAGCCTCGTCCTCTGCCCTGGAAGACACCAGCCCTTCGGTGTTACCTGGACACAATGTGCAGGATGACAAAGAGGATGACCAGGGGCGCCACTGCCACCAGGAACCATGGGAAAACCCCTGCGATCATCCCAATACAGAAGACCACCAGGATGAGATTCTGGATGAACATCTCAGCCTGGAAGGGCAGGCGCACATCGACTGGGGAAACCGGAAAGAAACAAGTGTCAGGCTGTGGGGGTCCGCAGACAGGAAACACGGAACCCAAAATTAAAAGTACAAAGAGACATTCCCCCAAATCTTTAAAAATATATATATATTTTTTTATTGATTTCAGAGAGAGAAACATTAACAATGAGAGACTCATTGATCGGCTGCCTCCTGCACACCCCACTCTGGGGATCAAGGCCGCAACCCGGGCATGTGCCCTGACCAGGGATCGAAATGTGACCTCCTGGTTCTTAGGTCGAAGCTCAACCATTGAGCCACGCAGGCCAGGCACTCCCCAAAATCTTATCTAAGATCTGTGTGCTGCCATTTAAACAGTCTGATAAAAAATAAATAAAAATCTAGAGAACCGATTGCTCTAATTTTTCTTGTCCCAAGAAAATGTAAGTATTACTATTTCCCCCCTGTACCCTCATTTTTAAAATTTCAGAGAAGAAGAGAGAAGGAAAGAGAGAAACATCAATGATAAGAGAGAATCATTGATCGGCTGCCTCCTGCACGCCCCATACTGAGGATCGAGCCTGCAACCTGGGCATGTGCCCTGACCAGGAATCGAAACGTGACCTCCTGGTTCATAGGTTGAAGCTCAACAACCGAATATGCCAGGCATATGCCCTGTTTTAGTTCACTATGCTGTCCAACCCTTTAAACACGTCCTCCTTTTACAAAGATTTAATATATGCTTGCTATAAAATATTTTGAAAATATGCAATAAAAAGATTACACATAATATTCATTCTCACTAAACACAATGAATTTGCTGTTAACAGTTAAAGAGACACAGAGGCATGGAACAGACTGGTGAATCTCAGAGGGAAGGTGGGGTTGGGTGGGGAGAGATGAACCGGGGAACTTGCATGCATAGCCCATAGACACAGACAACAGTGTGGTGAAGGCTTGGGATGTGTGTGTGTGTGTGTGTGGGGGGGGGGGGGATGGAACATCTGTAATACCTTCAACAATAAAGACAAATTTTAAAAAATAAAAAGGAAAAGAAAGTTTTCATCATGAAAAGTCAAACATGCCCAAAAGTCAAGAGTATAGAAACTCAAAAAGTTAGCAACATTTTCTTCACCTCCTTTTTTACTATCTCCTCCCCCCACCTTTTTTTTTTGGAAGGGAGAGGAGTTAGAGTATTTTCATCCAACTCTCAGATATATTGACACCACTGATTCTTTAATTTCAGTCTTTTCTCCGTTTGTGTGAATGCTTAACAGAAATGGGATCATGCTATGCATCAGTTCTGTGTATCAGCGATGGTCTTGAGCCCTTGCTACCTGTAGCCATGGCTTTACAATGCTTATCAGCACCTGTAATAAACTCCTCTATGGGAGCAACACAGAGCAGCAAAAACATTAGCTCTGGGTCAAAAAGATCTGGGCTCAATTCCCACTTTGCTATCTAATAGCTGTACAATCTTGGGCAAGTTATTTAACCTTCTAGGCATCAGCTTTCTCGCGTATTTAGTGGGTGAAACAATACCCACCTTGTAGGGCTGCCGTGAGGCTCAGGACAGGGCATGGAGAACATTCAGCGCCAAGGACGCCCTCAATAAATGTCAGGTGGCATCACTAATAGCCTGGGCTTTGGGCAGTACTTAAGTTCTGGTGCTGGCACTGCCCCGTGCAGCACCCAGAAAAACTGCCGGAGGCTGTATGTGTCCAAAAAAGCAACAGACTGCCCTCCAAATAAATGACCCTCCAAGGTCCAAAGCCCTTATACTAACCCAAGCCTCTGAATTTGTTTCAGGTTAAAGAAGACTGAATGAAAGCTTAGATGAAACGTGAAAAACAAGATGGGGCTTTTGCTCAAATATAAGCTGCAACCTGACGAAAATGCCAAAGCTGAAATGTTCCTGGTCCCGGCACCAGCCGCCGCCGCTGCGCTCTCAGAGGGCACGGCGCCACAGACCCGCACCATCGGGGAGTGTCAGCCAGACGGCCGGGAGCGCAGGGAACGGTGGCGAGGAATACCTTCGTCCATGTCTCTGGAGAACCTGTTGAGGATCCTCCCTGTGGGGGTGGTGTCAAAAAACTTCATCGGGCTCCGGAGGATCCTTCGGAAGAGCTCGTCGTGGAGCCGGGAGGAGGCGCGCAGCGTGCCCTGCGGAGCAGAGCGCGGAGTGAGCGGGGCCCAGGGCCCGGCACCGCGGCAGGCTCCGTCCGCTCCGCGGGCCGCCGTCCCACAGCTGGAGGGGGCGCATGGCACGGAGGGAGGCGGCGGCGGCTAATGGGGAAACGCTGAGGCTGACGGGGTACAGGCCATTCCAGGGGAGGCCACTGCGCCTCAAAGGCGCTCCCTCCTCAGGACGAGCCTGGGGGAGGCCGTGGAGAGCCAGCTGGGTGAGCGGGAGCAGGGGCCACCACTGCATACCTTGACAAAGACCACTCCTCGGACGGCTTTCAGGATCAGCATGACGACCATGGAGAGGGCGTAAATGCTGGCGTAGAACTGCATGTGAGGATTGTCCTTCATGTTGCCGCTCACGGCGGTCGTGTTCCCGTGGCTCACCGTGCTGTTCTGTTTGGAGGCAGGGCTCTGTGAGGCCAGACCCCCAGGGACGGCCAGGAACCCTGCTGAGGGCCACGTGCAGCTCAGGGGAGGGCGCAGGGGAAGGACTCTGGGAGCTGGTGTGGCAAACACAGGGAGGGCTCTGTCCCCCCTTCGCTCTTCTCTAACGACGAGGGCAGACAGCCCACAGGGGTGCTAGGATAAGCTCTACCGAGTCTTGAGTTGGTCAGGGAGCAACTATATTTTGAGGTTACATTAGGGACCCCTCTTATTCATCCTGGGTGACCTTTGTTCGTGGTGTCTTTTCATCGAAAACGAGTTTCCTTAAGAACGGCCAGGGAGTATGGGGAGATGGCCATGTTCTTAGGCATATAGTTTCCCATTCATGAGGAACTTACCCCACTTCCTTCCTTGATCCAGTAACTCAACCACCAGTTGCTGAAGGCAATACTGCCCACGTTCAGCGTGAAGAGGGATATAATGAACAAGAAGGCCAAGGGGCCCCCGGCAGCCCGAATGTAGACACCGTACACTGACCACGGCACAGATCCCTGCCCCTTCTCCTCTGCTTGCACCAGCTGCCCTACGGGGAGAAAAAAGACACATGAACTCAGAAGGAAAAAGCGACTTTTCCAAAACGAAGGCCCCTATATATATAGAAGAGCAAAATCAAAGAGCCTATAGCTTCACAGGGCTGTAGTTCAGAATTATTTCACCTTTATCAGAAGCATTCATTCATCCATTTAACATTTACTAAGCACTTCCTATCAACAGGCCCAGGATGAGACCCTGGAATGGTCCACATGAGTAAGACCAGGTTCCTGCCCTTGAGGGTCCTTCCACAGTCTGGTAGGCAGACAGGTAAGTAAACACATAATGCTAATAAAATGTGTTAAATGCAATGCTAGAGCTACATGCAGGGCAGCATGGGACGCCCAGGGGGTCTAGCTCACCTACTTGGGGGAGCCGTGCAGTGGTTAGCAGGGAAGACTTTGTGTGCAGTCTATATAGCACCTTGAAGGTAAGCCAGAGTCGGCCAGTTGGGGGAACAATGGGCAGAAGAGATAACGTGAGCACCATCACAGAGGTGGGGAAACAGCAGGACAGTAAGTACCGACAACCAGGCCAGCGCAGGCTGAACAGTGTGTGTGCCGGTGGAGTGGCAGGGACCAGGTGGGTTAGGCAGGCTGTGCTCTGTCAGAGGTACCTGAGCGTTACCCTTCTCGAGAACGGGCTACAGGTGTGTGGAGATTTGACTCTCAGTCCTAGTGGGCTAGATGGGCCTGGGATGGCCAGTCCAGTCACCTCTGGCAGCGAGCAGCCTCTTCCATGCACCTGAGCGTCACACGCAAATAATGGCATTTTCTGTGTGTGCCGTACCAGGGAAAAGGATTGGAAAACACTGCTTTGAAACTGGGAGGAGGCCACTGAAGACTCCATGCAGGAAGGTGAGTTGGTGAGTCTCCTGTTTTCAACCCTATTGCCCAGCTGTCTGCGTGCAGGATGGACAGCAGGAACATAGGTACGGGATGATAAAGGCCAGAACCAGGTCGTGGCAATAGGGATGGAGTCTCGGGAGAAAATCCAGTAGGACGTGATGACTGTGTAGTAGGGGAAGGGAAAAGATTCAAAGGTAGCACCCAGGGGTTCCCTGGCATGTCAGATGATTGATGCCCCACAGGCCACCTCTTCCTCTTGATCACACACTTTTAATTATGTGGCACAAGCCACACAGGCCAGGAGCACTTTAACAGTTGCCAGTCTCCAGGTTAGTGGCTCCACAGAGAACAAATGTTCCCTGATGACATTCTGGCTTTTTGTACTGCTTCTGGCAGAAATTGATAGATGTCTCAGCCAGCTGTGCTGTGTTTGTTTAGTGTGTGTGAGTAAGCTGTCTTAAATCACATCTGAACTCAGAATTATTACCTGGTTTATTGAAAGAAAGAAGAGGCAGGGAGTGGTAAATCAGGATGGTCAACTCCTAACACCAAACACCTGCTGCAGTTTTAAGAACCAGGAAGTGAAAACAGAGGCAAACCCAGGATTCAAAACCTCAGATTCAAAAACCTCAGGTGAGGACATGATACAACAGAAAGGGAGCTTTAAAACAGAACTGCATTTTTTTTTTTTTTTTTTTTGGGTGGGGAGGTGTGGGGTGGTGGTGGTGAGGGACTGATTTACAGCTTAAAATTCACCAAGGTAAAAACACCTTAAGTACTGTAAACTAGTGGCCCAGTGCACAAAATTCATGCACATTAAAAGGGGATTAATTAGAGAAAATATTTCAAAATTGCTATTTGCCCTTTCTCTATAATGGAAGTGTCAGAAATGAAAGAAAATTAATAAAATGTATATAAAAACTTTCCTCCTGTCAGAGTCTGGGGTGCACCATAGGACCCAGAGTCAAGTCCCTGCCCACCCACATGTGCCTCAAAATCGTGTGAGACCCAGACCTGGCCGCTCCCCCACTCCTCCGAATTGGGCTAGATCCAGACCTGGCCAGTCCCACCCTTGTCAAGCCCCACTGGTTGGGGGGCACAGCCTGAGGTCCCCTGTCAAGCCCAGCCAAACAGGGGGGAGTAGCCTCAGGTCCCCTGTCCCCTGATGGGGGCATGGCCTGAGGTCCCTCGTCAAGCCGGCCAGGTCGGGGGTGCAGTCTGAGGTCCCCAGCCTAGTGCTGGAGTCGAGGGCAAGGCCTGAGGTCTCCTGTCATGTCCCACGGGGCCAGGGGAGGGCGTAGCCTCAGGTCCCTGCTGATTGCTCGTTAAGGCTCCTTATGGGAACTTGGCCTCAGCCTTGGGTGTAGCCAGCTTTGTGAAGGAGTGATGGTCAGTAAGCATATTCCCTCTTTATTAGATAGGATTGTTTTTCTAAATTCCAAGATTTGTTTCAGTTGACAAGATAAAGTGTTGAAAGAACAGAACTCTGAATAGGGAAAGTTGCTGGGAGAAACCCAGGTGTGACCGTGCCATAGTTCTGGGGCAAACTCCAAGGAGCGTCCCATTCTAACAGGGAGAACACAGGAGTCTCTGCAGCTGGACCGCCTCTGCCGTGATGGGCACTGATTTTTAAAAAGCACAGATGAGTCACGGGAAGGACGGTGACTCACCTCTCCCCTTTTTTCATATTCAGGGTGACTCAGCTATATTACCTAGACCTGACCCCACCCTGCACAGGAAGAGACGGGATCAAAGGACATTCTTATTGCCTTGGTCTGTTTAAGCAAACAGAAGGTGCCTCACAGTCTCTTGATATCATATAAGAATGCTGTTATTCCAGGCATATAAGGCCAGGTACTCTACCACACACAGTGTTATCAAACATCCCCAGTCTTATCCAACATCATGGGTTAATCATCCACATGGCATGACTTATGATTTACTTAATGACAAATTTGTACTTATGACAAATCTCAAATCTCAAAATAGGTCATTACCTTCCTCTGGATTCACTGCTTTCTCCTTCTTCACTGATCCTGTTTTGGGACCCTTGTCTTGTGACTTCTGCGAACCACTGGTTTCCTTTTCTGAATTAACCTAAAAAAAAAAAAAGTGTCTCCATTTATGATATGGCCATTCAGACAAATGTCCACGCCACATATGAGAGAATCATGCTAAGCTGCTGGTATTACTGAAAAGCAATCCTTCCAATTATTCATTTCTTGTACTTCCTCAGCTCCTTCAATCTTTGAGCTCTGGGTTCCTACACTGTTATTCCATTGACACTGCCCCTCCCCAAGTCATTGAAGACCCGAATTCCAAACACAGCAGCCTTTATGTTCTCATCCACTCCAACTCAGCCCACATATTAAGGCTGGACCACTTGCATTCCTCCCACCTCCGATCCCCACGTCACTAGATAAAACCAGAGCTGATCATTTCCCGCTGCTACCAGAGGAGAGCCTCTAACTTCTCAGCCTGGTGCTGTAAGAACTCCACATCCTGGCCCCAGCCTGACTGCAAGCTCCGCTCCCGTTCCTGGGGCTCCCACTCTCACGCCAAACTGGATTTCCTGCCATCCCTGGCATCACCGTGACCTCCCACTTTGTCCACGTTGGTCCTTCATTTGGAATGCTCTTCCCTTGTCCCAACACAATCACAGTTGTCCTCATTCAAGCAGATTCAAATCCTACACCCTCCCTGAGGTAATGCGTCTGGAATCAAGTTCAGCCCTGCTCCCAGGCACTTTGTTAGTAGCACTCCCTGACAGCACAGTTGCTGTAATGGGACTGGTGAAGAGCTCGGTGCACTGTCTTCCCAGAGACCCTAGTCTCTCTGGAGGGAGAGGCCATCTCACTCGTGGTTAGAACCCCACAGGGGCTAACACCCAGAACTCCCCATAGCGGGTCCCTGAGGAGCTTGGTAAATGTGCATCAAATTGAACCCAGGAGTTTAGAAACCATCTAACGCTCTCCTTTCCAAGTTCCTCTTATCTCTTCACAGGAGCCTAAATTTATTGACTGCAGTATGTGAATAAATGCACTGTCTAAAGCAGCGGTCACCAACCTTCCGGACCTCACGTACCACCAGTGGTCTGTGGACCACCGGTTGGCAACCACTGCCCCAAAGCTTTCCTTAAACCAGCGGTGGCCAACCTTTCGGACTTCATGGACCACCGGTTGGTGACCGCTGGTCTAAAGAGAATACGTCCATTTGCTGACCACTTACTAGCATAAGGACATTACATATTATTTCATTTAACTGATGCAACAATTCCAAGAGGCAGATGCCATCCCCATCTGTAAGATGAAGAAACGGAAGCTCAGGAGAGGTAAGTGACACACTGAAAGTGTGCTCCTCCACTACAGCTCACAAACTGCCCAAGTCTAGTATTTATTTATTTTTTTAAATATATTTTTATTGATTTTGTACAGAGAGGAAGGGAGAGAGAGAGTTAGAAACATCGATGAAAGAGAGTCATCGATCAGCTGCCTCTTGCACACCCCCTACTGGGAATATGCCCGCAACCAAGGTACATGCCCTTGACCGGAATCGAACCCGGGACCTTTCAGTCCCCAAGCCGACGCTCTATCCATTGAGCCAAACCGGTTTTGGCCCAAGTCTATTATGGTTCCTTGGACATTTTGTACTTGAGATTCCCTTCTTCTCATTTTCCTCTGAGTCTACAGTGAGGAGGAAATGATCTGAAGAGTAAGTACTCTGAGAGTCGCAGGGAGAGATCATAAATCCAAATCTGCATTAGGGTGTCTCTATGGACGTTACTGATACTCCTGGAAAAATGCTTGAGTTATTCCAAAAGGCCGAAGAAAACAAATCGGCCATGAACAGTTGTACTGCACCCAAAATCAAACAAGATGAAACCTAAGGACTCCCAGAAAATATCCCAACAACAGCCTGCTGTTAGCCCTCACAGACATCGAAATGACCTGGTAGCTAAGAAGTAGCCTATAGCCCAGCCTGAGTATACTCCTAGGACCCAATGTACCTACAGAATGAGGACTTTGCGTGAGAGCAGGTTGGCAAGAAGGAAGAACATGCAATTTGGCGAGCTCTAAGTACTTCCTCGGATTTGTCTTATTTGGAGCTGAGAGTAAAGCCATGGAAAGCTGCCATCTTTCTGTTGCCACAGGGGCGGGCAGCCTGCCAGAAAGAGCACTTCAGAGTCAAAGTGCCCTTGTTAGTATTTTTTTAAAAAGATCCCAAATGGAGTCACTTTTGCTAAGCCACACCAAGATTCAGTACCTAACCTAACTGCCGTTTCAGCCTCTTCCAGGAGTGCAATTTTAAATCCCTCAGTCTGGAATTTCCTGATCAACACTAGTGAAGTAACCTGCCTCTTAAGGCCCCCTGTCTTTCCCTAAGAAAAGATGACTTCACCTGAAATAATCCACTTTTTAAATCTCTTCTTCACACCCTCTTTCTGCCCTTCTAGTTGCTAGAGAGGATGCTGTCCAATTCACAAATCACTTGAGAAAGCCAATTAAATCTTCAAATTTACACAGTTGAATTTTGTTGTTTAACATTAGTTGCTTAACTTTTCTGAGCTTCCATTTCCTCAGCTATAAAAGTAAAGGATAATCATATTTTGCTACAGAACTTTGTTTAAATGATTAAAATAGGATGACATCTATGAAGTGCCTAATCTAGTAATCCTATCTAATAAAAAGGTAACATGCAAATTGACCATCACTCCAACACACAAAGATGTGGTCAAAGATGGCCACCCCATGTGGACACAGATGGCCACCACAAAATGGCTGGCAGGAGAGAGCAGTTTTGGGCGATCATGCCAGCAGGGAGGACAGTTGGGAGGGACCAGGCCTACAGGGGAGGGCAGTTAGGGGTGACCAGGCCTGCAGGAAGGACAGTTAAAGGGACCAGGCCTGCAGGGGAGGACAGTTGGGGAGGACCAGCCCTGCAGGGGAAGGCAGTTGGGAGCGATCAGACCTGTAGGGGAGGGCAGTTGGGAGTGATCAGTCCTGCAGGGAAAGACAGTTGGGGGTGACCGGGCTGGCAGCGGAAAGGTTAGGGGCAATCAGGCAGGCAGGCCAGCAGTTGGGAGCCAGCAGTCCTAGAGGGCAGTCGGACATCCCTCGAGGGGTCCCAGATTGGAGAGGGTGCCAGCTGGGCTGAGGGACACCCCCCTGCCCCATTTTGTGCACTGGGCCTCTAGTTGGGACATAATAGTTGTCAGTTAATGAGTGAAAAATCAGCAGCCAGGGTACCACGGATCATTTTCAAATGTATGCAATGATTAATTTCTCTTCCCTGTTCTTTATTCACTTGTTTATTGAAAAAGGAGCTTCATATGAAAGTAACCTCACAGGGTGATCTAAACATTAATTTCTAACTGTACAGGTCAAGGTGGGTAATGATGCCTTCTGTAACTTCTATAGTGGAAGGTTTATCTTTGCCTTAAGCAACCCCTATTCTTGTGCATCTAGGTTAATAAACCTTTGAAATGCCAGAGTAATCCCTTTTTCCAGACCCCTTAAGCTTAACCACGCTCAAGAGAGTACATCCTCTTGTTAACTGTCATGTAATCTAATCCCTGCCCTGCTTTTTCCCCAGGTCCATGTAATCTTCCTTATGTTCCCTCCTTAATTCCAAATGTATAAGAGAATCTACAAACTGACATTCTCCAGAGCATTTAAGATCTTACTTCCCAGCAATGTCATCAGTTTGGCTCAAATAAATTCATAAAAATTCTCTACAGGTTTGGACGTATCTTACTTTGACAACACACAGAGTCCATCTTGGCCTCATTAATAAGTTCTCATTGACAGAAGTCCTTGGCTCAACAACCCCACAATCCTGCTCTCCTAGAATAGAATTAGTATGTGAACCAAAGCACAGCAATCTGGTCATCAGAAAATAGGGCTCTGCCAGTAAAACACAGGCATCGAACTCAGCTGAGACCGGTCATCCCTCAGTAAGATTATGCCTCCCCTGCTAGAAAGGAGAGATGCATAAGTCATAAAACTCTTACCTCAACTGGGGGCGTGTCTCCCAGCAACAGGTTATTGAAAATGGTAGCATAATCACCATTTAGGTTCATCAGTTCCTCATGGGTGCCCCTTTCTGTAATACAGCCTTCTTTCATGAAGATCACTTGGTCACAATCAGGCAAGTACTAGAGACAAAGGCAGGGATGACACGGTGTTACTGATATTTGTGCAAATATTTCAATCCCTCATACCTTAGTCTAGCACTTTCCACCTGGAAGCGATTGAGCCCCCTCCCCCACAGGGGACATCTGACAATATCTGGAGACACTGTTGGTTGTTTTAATTAGGGAGAGGGGGCTCTGTTGCGCAATGGATAGCGCATTGGACTTCTAATTAGGGAGAGGGGTATTACTGGCTATCTAGTGGACAGAGGCCAGGGAGGCCTAGGACAGCCCCCACATCAAAGAGCGATATGGCCCAATATGTCAGTAGTGCCAAGACTGAGAAGCTCTGCACTGCTTTATTGAGATGTAGTTCCAAGTACAGTTCCTCCAGTTTTCGACGTAAATCCGGTGGAAGCACAAGAGCCTTGCATTAAGCTTCATCTTGTTACTACGCTCGGAAGTACACACCATTACTGACTTCCTGTGGCAGGATGGGAGTTAACCCCCAAACCTGACAACATATGCAAAACAGATGGCAATATTCTTCAGCTGCCCTCCAAAGTGGCCACTTGTCATGGAGAAGACCTTGTTTTCCCTGAACAGTTCCTGCTTAAATAAACATAAGACTTTCCACCCTATCTCATACTCAAACTCTATTTTCTACCTACCCCTCCCCGCCTTCCTTCACTTACTGATTTATATGCAGAAGCTAACATGCCCCAAGCATCTCTGATGCAGATAGCCAACCTCGTACAGTGGTTCAACGAGCTTTATTGCTACAGTGGGCCAGGCGGCTATTTGCTGAGGAAAAGAACACTGATGGTTCCAGGAACTTCTAGACCACAAAGGTACCGAGAAGGACCAAGCCCCGCCTCCCGTGTGATTTCTCAGGACACAGTGGGTGGCCTGGGGGAGGAAAAAGCACCGTACCTGCAGCTGGTGGGTAACAAACAGAACCGTCTTGGACTTGAGGTGCTTCTGGATAGCACTGTTGAAGATGTGGTTGCCCACATGGGCATCTAAGGCACTGAGGGGGTCATCCAGGATGTAGATGTCCCGGTCACTATACAAGGCTCGGGCAAGGCTGATCCTTTGGCGCTGCCCACCACTCAGGTTGGCTCCTCGCTCGCCAATCTATAGGAGCCCAGAAAGCATAGTGGAGCTGCCAGCTCAAGACCAGAACTGGGTTTAGTGTCTACCCCAGTCACCATTCTTCTCCTCCACCCAAAGCGGCATCTTCTACTGAATTCCCAGCCTGCATGAGTGGCCACTATGATCCTCCAGGGCCCACAGCGGGGAGATGGCCTAGATACCTCCCTTGCTCCCACAATCATCTGGTTACTAATCAATCCTCATCCGGCCTTGCCACCCCCTGGGCACCCTGCTCCAGTCCATTCTCTATGGGCAGAATGAGCTTTCCAAAACATAAAGCTAACCATGAACGACCTTCCTCAAACTCTTCAAAAGCCCTGATGGATAGAATTTAAACAACCAAATTTGGCATTCAAAGCAGGTTCCCAGCATCTCTCAGCATCCGTTGCCAATCCCCCAGCACACCCTGGGATAGAAGCCATTAGATTGTGGATATATTATGAACACACATGACTAATGTCACACCTTCTCCTGCACTATTCCTGCTCAGTTCTGGCACCCTCTCCTCTGCAAATACCCCCTCCCCCCCATCTCTTCCTTACTAACATTCAAAAGAAAGGGATTCTTTTTCATCAGCTTGTTTTGAGCCTTGTGTGTGGGTGCCCCATCCTCTCCACATAAGCTTTCTGAGGGTGCAAGTTATTGTCTTTCCTTTACATTCCCAACACCCAGAAGTGTCTGCACATGCAGCCAGCATACAATAAGCTTCTGATAAACATTACTAAATGGAAACGTAAATACATCCGTTGTAAAATGATAATGGGCCCGGTAATTAAAAAAAAACAAAAACCTTGTCCTTAAAAAAAACATTCAGTTAATGCAAAGGTTTTCAAACTTGAACAGGGATCAGAATTACTTGAGGACTTGTAAAAACAGGTTTTTGGGCCCCACCCCTGGGGTTTCTGATTCAGGAGGTCTGGAGTGGGGCCTAATAATTTGCATTTCTAACAAGTTCCCAGTGTCACCGAGCGCGCTGCTAATCTGGGCACCTTTGTTTGAGAGCCGGTGAACTAATTAATCCATTCACCAAACCTGGTTGGAGGGATTTAATACCTGAAGTCAGCTGAAACACAAGTGCCAGCCCCAGAGACCCAGGGCAGGTCATGGGTGATGTCTCAGGGCTCAAAAAGCCAGTTCCAAAGACACAGCTCTGGAAACTGCTCCAGGGCAGAGAACCAAAGAAAGGGATTTGTGCAGTCGCCTCTTCCTTTCTAATGGGAGAGGGCTCTCTGCAGACTGCCTCTGAACAAGGAGGTTGGCAGAATGAGGTTCAGGGAAGAAGCTCCATGTGCACATGCTTGACTCGTGGTTTTAAAAACCAGGAGTCACGCCGAAGCCGGTTTGGCTCAGTGGTAGAGCGTCGGTCTGCGGACTGAAAGGTCCCAGGTTCGATTCCGGTCAAGGGCATGTACATTGGTTTCGGGCACATCCCCAGTAGGGGGTGTGCAAGAGGCAGCTGGTTGATGTTTCTCTTTCATCGACGTTTCTAGCTCTATCTCTCTCCCTTCCTCCTCTCTGTGAAATATCAATAAAATATATTTTTAAAAACCAGGAGTCAGAAAACACAAATTCTGAACCAAAAACAGGATTCTGTTTAAAACCCACCTGACATAGGACATATATACATATGCTTAAAACAGGTAGTGTTGACATGCCAGCCCCAAGACATAAATGCTTTCCTAACATAAAGTACCAGGGAAAGTGAATCTCACTGTGTCAGTTTTTCTCCCTCGCATTTAAGATGCACTCCTAGGAGGTGACTCCAACAGAGCCCTGCCACTCATCTCCCAGGATCCTCTCTGCTACATACATGCCCCCATCGGGAGCAGGAGGCTTGTACCTCAGTCAGATCACTGTTGGGGAGAATGGCCAGGTCAGGCCGCAGGCAGCAGCTGTTCAGCACAGAGTTGTATCTGAAGAACATAAAGAGACCTAGCATCAGGGACACGGTTGGAGTTGAACCTGGGCCTTGGGGTGCCTTGCGTCTCACAGACAGAAAGCATGATAGAAACCAAGCATTCCTTGCCTTTCTTCATCAAATTCCTTCCCGAAGAGGATGTTGTCCCTCAGCGAGGCATTGAGGATCCAGGCCTGCTGGGCCACATAAGCGAAGGTTCCACCAACTGCAATGCTGCCCTCTATGAGTGTCATCTAGGGAGACAGACACCGTCCAATGGCATCACAATGCAAAACCGCCCCCCTAAATCCGGCAGAACCCCCCAGGTCCCACAATGAAGTTGAAAGTTTTGGCAGTTTCCTTGGTTGCTTTTTGGACCCAAAACCAGACCCCACCATTGTCCCACAGAGAGCTTCGGCCACAGAGAAAATCAAAGGTCTCCTTGCTTATGAGCAACGGGAGCCTGGACGACCCGTGACTTGAACGAACCAACACTTCATTCAGCAACCTCTGGGCTACTTTATGTCCTTCCTTTCTAATTGCAAACGGCTTTAATTAAGGGAAGCATAAGCGGAAGGCTCTTTCAGAATCCCCTGGGGAGGATGCTGTAAGGATTTTATAGCCTCAATTTTAGGGCAGGCCAACTCATCTACAGAATTAATCCAGGCTATTAGCTAGATCAGCTCCTTCTGTAAAACAAGGATCAAAGTGGGGAAAAATCCAGTTCGACATCAACTAGTATTACTGAGTATCCATACAACGATGGTGAACCGTCCCCTCCAACATGAAGAAACTGCATGATGGACCTGTTCACTTGGAATTGTTTTCAGTCATGGTAATTGATATGAATTGATTTATCCATTTTTACCTTCTTTCAGGGTTCCTTTTGGGACTGATCGTTGACAATTTGTCTTGGGAGAGGGATGCTATAAATTGGAACAGTTTCATTGACCAGTCTGTGTAGTCCTTGCACATAAAGCTTGTCCTCTCAAACACTGTAATATACAGTGCACACATACAGGTGATCACTAAGCTCCCTTCAGACACAGTGCTGTGAAGGGGTGGGAATGTAGTGGCGAGTGGGGGGAGGGCAGGGAGATGCAGATGAAGGGTTCATTTTGTTTCTATTTTTCCTGATCCTCTCTAGGAAATAAATTCAGTTTTTCTGAGGCCTTTGCTAATAAGCAAAATACAAAGGAGCAAAAAATGCCAAGGACAATAACAAAATCTTACCTGGCCTAAAATGGCTGAGATAAGAGAGGTTTTTCCACTTCCCACACTGCCACAGATCCCAACTAGTTTACCCTGGAAAAAAAACAGAGTGGGAGAGGAGGTCATTCAAGGACTACTGACCACTCACCTGCAGGGACTTCCTATTTCTTTGAGGAAAAACACATTAGCCACAATCCATCAGTATGGCAACTGCCTTCCCGATTCACCAAGCAAGTCACTTAACTCTTTTCTCCCTTGTCAGTCACCTACTCCATAGGGTTTCTGTGGAGATACACTAAGAAAACAGATGTGTAAGCTTTTGCAAAAATTAAAGATGCTAAGGTACCCTATATCACTTTTAAAAAGACCCAACTCCTTTCCTGTTTTGTTGATAATCTACTTTTTTAAAATACATATTTTTATTGATTTCAGATGACTAAAAGAGACACCAACAATGAAGTAAGAGAGACATCAGAAGACACCAAGTTTCCTTCCCCTCCCTAAAGGAGGGGTCTGGAGAATTATGGTCTCTCTTCAAAAGAGCTCAAGTTCTGTGAATGTGGGCTCTAAAGGGCAGAATGAGGATCAATAGAAAGTAGGAGAGTAAACATCCACTGACTATCAGGACTAACCCTCGAATAGAGCTGATTAGTAGTGTGATAGAACTGCCTCAATAAACAAGATCATCGCTACCAATAAGAAGCCTGTTAAATCGAAACTGGTTTGGCTCAATGGATAGAGCGTCGGCTTGGGGACTGAAAGGACCCGGGTTCGATTCCGGTCAAGGGCATGTACCTTGGTTGTGGGCATATCCCCAGTGGGGGGTGTGCAAGAGGCAGCTGATCGATGACTCTCTCTCATCAATGTTTCTAACTATCTCTCTCCCTTCCTCTCTGTACAAAATCAATAAAATATATTAAAAAAAAAAAAAAAAAAAGCCAGTTAAGAGTTTACTGAAGTAAAAAAGTGACTTGGCCCGGCCAGCCTGGCTCAGTGCTTGAGTGTCAACCTATGAACCAGGAGGTCACAGTTCAATTCCCAATCAGGCACATGCCGGGATTACAGGTATGAGCTCTACTGAGGTAGTGAGGGGGCATACAGGAAGCAGCCAATCAATGATTCTCTCTCATCATTTATGTTTCTATCTCTTTCTCCCTCTCTCTTCCTCTCTGAAATAAATTTATATAATTACACACACACACACAAACACACACACACACACACACTTTAAAGTGACTTGAATACTGAAACCAGTTTGGCTCAATGGATAGAGCGTCGGCTTGGGGACTGAAAGGACCCGGGTTCGATTCCGGTCAAGGGCATGTACGTTGGTTGCAGGCACATCCCCGGCGGGGGGTGTGCAAGAGGCAGCTGGTCGATGTTTCTCTCTCATCGACGTATCTAGCTCTCTCTCTCCCTTCCTCTCTGTAAAAAATCAATAAAATATATTTTTTTAAAGTGACTTGAATGCCCTCCACACAACCACTAATTTCCAGTGGTCTCACCTAGGACCATCTCACCCTTTTGGTCATAGCTTTCAAAAGCTGGGAGCTTTTCATTTTCCCTGCAGTCTAGCTCTGGGTCTGTGTGATGTGCTTCTAGTTAGTTGCTGACTTGATAAACACATTTGAACCCAGCACTCCCTACTTCCAGTGATGTAGGTAAACATTTCTTTACCACTGCCCTCAGTCCAAGGCACCCTAATGTTCTCCTAGGTTAACTGTTATCCTTGCCTCCTTCCTGTTTCCCTACTTACTCTTTTGAATACAGAAGCTAGAATGTTTCTCTCATCTACACTAATAAAAGAGAAACATGAAAACTAACCATAACTCTGCTATACCAAGCCACGCCCACAAACCAATCAGGAGTGAGCATGCAAATTAACCCTACCAAGATGGCAGCTGGCCACAGAGCTGGAGCAAGCAGACTTAGGTTGCCCCGGCAATGGAGGAAGCCACGCTTCCAGCCTGCTCTGGCCGGCCCTGGCCTCTGCTCAAGGCTACAAAGTTTCAATTATAGAAGATAAATAAATCCCCCCCAAAATGGCAGCAGCCATGGAGCTGGAGCAAGCAGGAAGCTTGGGTTGCCCCTGGTGATGGAGGAAGCCAAGCTTCCTGGCTGGTCCTGGCTTCTGCTGAAGGCTACAAAGTTCCAATTATAGAAGATAAATAAATTTTAGATACTTGCTTCCAGCCTGCCCTGGCCTCTGCTCAAAGAAACACTGGAAAAAAGAAAAAGGAAAAGAAAAAAAGGAGGGGCTGGGACATTGGGGTCCTGGCAGGGTGGGGGAAAGCGTGGTCAGGCCAGGATGGGACGGCAGGGGCCGTTAGGGGTAAGCAGACCAGCAGGGGGGCCAGTTGGGGGTGAGAAGGCCATCAGTGGGGGTCAGATGGAGATGATCAGGACAGCAGGGGGACAGTTTAGAGTGAGCAGGCCAGCAGGGGTACTGTTGGGAGGTGAGCAGGCCAGCAGGGGAGGCACTTGGGGGCGAGCAGGTCAGTGGGGTGGGGGGAGTATTTGGGGGCGAGCAGGCCGGCAGGCAGAGTGGTTAGGGGCAATCAGGCAGGCAGGTGAGCAGCTGGAGCCAGCAGTCCTGGATTGTGAGAGGGATGTCCGACTGCCGGTTTAGGTCCTATCCCTGTAAACTGGCAGTAGGACATCCTTCGAGGGGTCCCAGATTGGAGAGAGTGCAGGCCGACCGGGCTGAGGAACACCCCCTCTCCCCGTGCACAAATTTCATGTTATCAGGCCACTAGCATATATATAAGTCAGGTCACATCATTCTTCTGCTCCAAGCCCCCAATGGCTTCTCTTTCCACTCAGAGTAAAACCAAAGTCATTACAGGAGGCTCTGCACCTAGCTCCCTGTCTGCCCCTGGCATCTACTACTCTCTCCTTTGCTCACTCTGCTCCAGTAATAGCCTCAGGGTCTTTGCAGTTTTGTCCTTCTGCCTGAATGCTCTTCTCCCCCAGATATTCACATGACTCATTCCCTTACCCCACAGGTCTTTCCTTGTAAAGGAAGCCTTTCCCTCAGGCAACCTATTTACATTGCAACCACCTGCTCCCTGCCCCAGCACTCTCTACCACCTCTTCTTCATCGCCCTTATCACCCTCTGACATACAATATACAGTATTCTTCCCTATCCATGGTTTCCCTCCCTTTCTGTGGTTTCAGTTCCTTGCAGTTAACTGTGGTCCAAAGCCATGAAGTGGAAAATTCCAGAAATAAACAATCCATAAGTTTTAAACAGTGTGGTGCTCTGACTAGTGTAATGAAATCTCATGCAGTCCTGCTCGGTCTTGCCCTGGACATGAGCCAGATCTGTATACACTGAGATCTACTCTGTATACACTTCCTGTTCATTAGTCCCTTTGACTCTTTTCACATCTTTCTCCATATCAAAGTGCTTGTGTTCTCTTATTTTACTTAAAAAGTGATGCCGGCAACTTAGATATGTTAAAAAGCAGCTATAAAGTAAGTGCTTCTTGTAAGTGAATAGGCAAAAAATCTCGACTTAATAAGGAAAAATTATATGCAGACGTTATTAAAATTGATAGTAAGAGCAAATCTTCCATCCTTGAAACTGTGAATAAGGAAAAAGAAATTCATGCTAGTTTTGCTGTCCCATCTTTAACTGGAAAAGTTGTGGCCACAAGTGCACGATAAGCGCTCGGTTAAGATGGAAGAGGCATTACAGCTGTGGGTGGAAGACATGAAGAGAAAACACATTCTGAACGACGACAAAGTGTTGTGCCAAAAAGCACTGAGCTATGTGAAGCCTGAAGCAAGGGATCCCTGAAACAAGGGACACAAGCCATGTTCTGCAAGTACGGGATGGTTCCACAGATTCCAGAATAGGTTTGGGGTGAAAAATAGAAAAATTACTGGAGAGAGACCCACCGAATTCACTTACCTTTTATTAGAGTATAGAGCAAACTGCTGAGGCTAGCTATTATTGTTAGTCTCTCACCGTGCTTAATTTATAAACTAAACCTTGTCATAGGTATGCATGTATGGGGAAAAAATTACCAGGATTCAACACTATAGGTGGGTTCAGGGATTTACAGGTTCTTGGAACATATTCCCCCCTTGTTTACAGTCTTTGCCACTAGAATGTAAGCTCCAAGAGGGTGGAGGTTTAACTGGATTTTCCCTGCTAGACCCCACCCCAACAACACTGCCGGCAGAGCTGGTCATGAAAAAATGGCTGTTAAATGAGTGAATATATAACTACATCTGGGAGCCTGTGTATGAAATAGCCCTCAACATGGCTCTGACTCCCAGTCATATTCTGTACTTTAAAAGCCTTGACCCAGGACTGTGTGTTCCAGCCACTCCCTAAAGCGAGGCCGCTGAGAGAACCCAGTTCTGCGTGCCTGGGCTGTGATATTACACACCACGACTATCCTTTACTTGCGTTAAAATAAACAATTATAACCGAATTGTCAATAATGTTAACATCACTGAGAATCCCTATTATGTTCCAGGTTCTGTGTTGTGATTAGCCTGCGGGTAATGAGAAGCTTACACAGAGCCATAATAACCAGAACTAATTTGTTACAGCTCACATACAACTACCATCAGTGAGAATCTATTCAGGGCAAAATCTTGGAAAACCCACCTGAATGTTTCATTTCCTTGCTTATAAAATGAGTTATCTCATGAGACCAGTTGTTATTCATTGCGACTGTTAAATGCCGAAATAAATATTCCTCTGAGAGGTGGAGCTGGCTAGAACTGCTCATTGATTCAAAACCACTCGTAGCCACAAAATAGAACCTTGCTAAGAGGAACGACAGCTGCCTGCTCGTGCCACAGCAGACACCTGGGAGACAGACAGCGGGCGGGGAGGCCCGGCGGTTACCTCTTCGATTTCCAGGTCGATGCCGTACAGTGTCCTCTGCAGGCGGGGGCTCCCCAGGGGGACGGGCTTGCCCTCTTCCTCCTCGGGACTGGGCCGCTCGTCGCTGTCCAGGAGGAGGTGGCCCTTCTGCTCCGCCAGCGCCGCCTGGTGCTCGGTGCGCTCCAGCTGCCTCGCCTTCTCTTTCTTGGCCCTGGCAGCCCTCTTGTCTTTTTTCGCTTTGGGGGTCAGCTTGGGTGAGTTCTGGATACTGGAGTGGGAGGAGTCCCATGCCAAGGTGGCATTTTTCATCTCTATCTTGATGTGAGCACTGGCTGGGCTTTTCTTTATCATGTGAACCTCTTCCATCAGAAACAAGCTCTGATAGGAGTTGTGAGAGAGGTGCAAAGATGAGACACTGGATCAAGACCAGGGAGACAAGCCCTAGGGCGTACGCGCACGTAGCAAAACACATCAGGCTATACAGTGGAAGAGAGCTGAAGGGCAAAAGGTAGCTCATTAGTGTAGCCCAGCCTCAGGCCCGGCGAAAGGTCACGGGGGTGTGGGGACACCCTCAGGAGGAACGGGACCTTGTCAGTGGCTCAACACTCGACACTACCGATGACACGCCACACCGGTTCTCCGTTTTCTACCAGTCTGTGTGACCAAAGGACACGGAACTAGTGCATGTGCCGGCCCTTGTTCTCACCCAGGAGTGGCTGAGCAGCAGTGGGAAAATGCCAGCAGAAAAACCACAGGGCGTGCTGTTCCCCCATTCAGACCCTCGTCACTGCTTCCCTTCCAGACCACCCCTATAGAACCTCGAAGCCTGTGTGCTTCCCTCACCCAAACATGGCGCATGTCTGAGGGCGAGGCTGAGCTGAGACAGTGCCTCGGCCTAGCTCGCTGAGGAGTACCCAGAGAGGAGGGCCTAAAGTATGATTGACGGCAGAGAACTCCTTCTTGCCAGTAAGTCTCATGTCTTCAGAAGAGACTTAGAACTTGTGGAAACTCAAACCACCCGAGGAAGGGACTTGCGTGGAAGTGAAGGTTATTTCCCTCAGAAACATCCTTGGGAAGAGAACATGACCTTCCCAGCTCATCCCCTGCGTCCCACTGAGTTCTGTAAGGGGAAGAAAACGGGAACACTTCTGAAATCAGATCTGCAACACTGACCGAAACAAATCTCAGCCCAGGACTTCGACGTGCCCATCACTCTGAACCCCCTCTTCAACCAGCGGGGGAGTCCCAATATGATTTAAAAAAAAATCTTTTTCAAATGTAAAAATAACATTAGAAAGTCTTTATGTATATATTTATTTTATTTTTTCTTTCTTTCTTTCCTTTCTTTTTCTTTTTCTTTCTTTTTTTTTTAGAGAAAAGATTACTTTTTAGGGCCAGAACTCCCCACTCAGTTGCTGAGAACCCCCAACTATGTTAAGTGTGCAGGTGCCATTAAATGCACCTTACAGTCCCCTTCCCAACCTCTTTCTGTTGGATCCGAAACTTCCGAGCCTGCTCTTTTCCTCCCTTGAACTGCCACATCTCCTCCTTACTCCTATTCCCTCATCTTTCCAGAAGTGGCATGGTTCTATCGATAAGTCTCCTAGATTAAAAGAAAACAAAATTAAGTTTCCTAGATAATCCTCACACTTAGTCAACCTCAGGTTTCGTCTCTGAAGACAGCTGTTGGTTTCATTTGGTCACAGCCTTCCTAAAAGACTGAGCTAAGGATAACCTGTCCGAGAGTGTCACCACCTTCACACGGTAAACCATGTGTTCCCATCATCTCTCCCCGGAGAGTTACTAAACGACCTTGCACCCCAGTGGGTTCTTCGGAAACAGGCTCACACCGCTAGTTTGCACGGCTCCTTCCCCACGGGCTCCGCCAGGAGGATTTCAGCTTCGGGCCACTCTGCCCTGAGGTGCTGAGTCACAGCACCTGACTTTATATCTACTTGGGTTTGCAATTGCCAGGACAACAGAATCTCCGAGGTACAGAAACCATGAACCTCAACTTCACCACAGGACACTGACCATCAAAATACTACCCTTATTGACAAGAAGAATCCAATCAGAATGTATCTGCTGAGCAGAAGAAGGACTACTCGTAGGGTTGCCAGGTAACACACAGGATGCCTAGTTAAGTTCTGATACCAGATAAACAATGAATGATTTTTTTTTTCAGTGTATCCCATGTTAGTAAATTATTCAATGGATGTCCCGTGTTTTTATTTGCTAAAGCTGGCAACTCTATACTGGTGACAATCTTATCAGGAAAGTCACAAGGTGGCTTCTCACTACCTTTCTACAGGTTACTATCCTAGAAAAAGGAGTGGGGGAGGGAGAGGGGAGAGTGGAAGAGAGGAGAGGGAGAAGGAGGTTGGAAAGGAGGAAACTACAAGAGGAATATGAAAGAAGGGGATTGTGGTCTCAGTGGGGAATATAATAGAGCTGTGGCTGATTGTGCTTCCTTTATTAACTCTGAAGCTTCCTGGATAAGAAAAGAGCTACGAGAGAAGCCACCTGCCAATACAAGTTCTCGCTAATAAGTGAAGAGAGCTCTTGAGAAACAAGGAGCTATACACACCCCTACTTCTTCATCTAAAATGCCACCAAACCCATTCACTAACAAGGAGGTGGGATACGTTTATAGTTGAATCATTTGCTTTCTTCCATGACTGGATATTGTGGGTTCAGCAAAATCAAGCTCTAGTTACAATTAGACCATTTCTCTTTACGTATATGGCTCTGGCCCTTTGCCTGCTAGCAGCCAGGCTGGGCTGGGGGAGGGCAGGGGCTGGGGTACACTCAAACAAAATTCACCTAGTTAACCATAAATGAGTAGAATATCATTTGGCAAGTTCTTCTTTATTCTTCTTAAAAGGTAAACCCAATTTGTTTTCTCCTAAATGTCTGAGGTGATATTAACCCCTCAAACGCCTGAGCTCACACCTGCTAGCCACGAACACCGCCTGTTTTGCTGCAGGAATGCAAGAGCTGCTTTCTGCAGCGGCTCTGTCCAAGAATCCCCGCCCACACTGTGCTGTTCCTTTCCCTTTTTTAAAGTATTACCCACTTCCAAACACCCATCTTGCCCCACCCTCCCAAATAGACTTCCCTCTTGCATTATTCTGGAGGCACAAAGGCAGGCCAAGGCATGATCAACAAACCCTACCAGAAAAAGCCTGATAATTCTGCATTTCTTAACATGATCTAGTTTTATGACTATCATGTCACTGGAGTTCCTGCATCATGAGTGGCAATCACAGGCCAGGAACAGGGTATCAAAAAGGGCTTAGCATGCCATGGCTGGTTTAGTTCAGTGGATAGAGCATCAGACTGCAGACCGAAGGGTCCCGGGTTCAATTTTGGTCAAGGGCACATGCCTGGGTTGCTGGCTTGATCCCCAGTAGGGGGCGTGCATGAAGCAGCTGATCAATGATTCTCATCATCTCTCTCTCTCTCTCTCTCCCCTTCTCTCTTCCTCTCCAAAATTAATAATATATATATTTAAAAAGGGCTTAGCATATTGACCCATCAAAATGACGCACTTTGGTAGAGGTAAATGGTAGGTCAAAGAAAGAAAAAGCTGACAGTCTCCTGACAGCTCTGATCCTCCAGGTTTGAGTCACTGAAAAGGCCCAGTAAGTTATGACTTATATCCACGTCAGGTCCAGGCAGGAGGGACTAACTCTGAAGAGAAACACTGAAGTCCTGGGAACCCAAACATAGGAGCGCCAGCGACAAAAGGTGCAAATTCATGTAACTAGCTCCGCCCCGTAAGTCAGTCTTCTCCACTGGCTCCTTCCTTTTCCCCGTTCCCGCCCGCTCCCCCTCCACCCCCCTGCATGGCCCCTTTCTTACCAACTTGCCAAAAGGCTGAAGGTGAACAAAAGCCAAGAGCAGTGAGCCTGTGTGACCCACTGGAATAAAGGCAGGTAGTTCTGTCAGGGACGGGTCCTGACGCAAAGGAGGAGAGGGAGCCACTTACCTTAAACCTGTCAACAGCAACCGATGCTTCTGAGAGGGATTTTACTGAGAACGGAGTTACTTTCAAAGCAAAAGTCATGGAATTGAAGACAGTCACCACTGTGAAAGCCTAAAAGGAGGAAAAGAGCAGAAACTGAGCCTTACTAGGCCATGCAACCAAAATCACAAGACACCATCAATTTCCCTTCAAGTTAAGCAAAGCTGCTGCCTAACTGCCAAATACTGGTATGAGACCGACACCTTTCTTAAAGGTAGAGTTTTTATGAGATCTTCGATTAAAATTCTCAGTAAATCTGAACCACAGAGTGATCTGTATTTTCAGAATTAGACCCAAAGTTGAGTTGTCTAAACACTGCCCATCCATTCTTTGTGCATTAAGGCTGAATCTTCACTCTTCTACTTCTCGGTTTAATCACACAAATGAAGAAAAAAAAAAAAAAATGCCTTCTGGCCGAAACCGGTTTGGCTCAGTGGATAGAGCCAAAGGTCCCAGGTTCGATTCCAGTCAAGGGCATGTACCTTGGTTGCGGGCACAACCCCAGTAGGGGGTGTGCAAGAGGCAGCTGATCAATGTCTCTCTCTCATCGATGTTTCTAATTCTCTATCCCTCTACCTTCCTCTCTGTAAAAAAATCAATTAAAAAAAATATATTTTTAAAAAATGCCTTCTGGCCGAAACTGGTTTGGTTCAGTGGATAGAGCGTCGGCCTGCGGACTGAAAGATCCCAGGTTCGATTCCGGTCAAGGGCATGTACCTTGGTTGCACGCACATCCCTGGAAGGAGTTGTGCAGGAGGCAACTGGTCTAGGTTTCTCTCTCATCGATGTTTCTAGCTCTCTATCCTTCTCCCTTCCTCTCTGTAAAAAAATCAATAATATATATATATATTTTTTTTTAAATCAATAAAATATATATATATTTTTAAAATGGCTTCTGATTATTGGGGGAACTTTCAAATCCAGAAACAAGAGGATCAGAGCATCTCATTTTCCCAAGCCCCGAGGGCTCACTGACCTGTGCTGCTGTGAGATCGAAGCCAAGAGTCAGGTGAACAGAGAATGTTACCACGCTGGCGATCACCATCACGATGGGAGCCACACCGACGGTGATGCTCTGAAAGTACCCGGCTTTTTCCAATATCCGCCGCTCCTCCTCTCGGATTTCTAAGAACAGAAAGGAAGCCAATCTCTAAAAAGCAAGCTAAAAAAAAACCACCACCCTGCAATATTGCTCCTCTGCCATCAAAAAAGACATGGGTGGTCTTTAGCCACACACAAGATTTAAAACAAAGACTAGGTCACCAGGACTATCAATTCCTATCATTAATGCTGGCGCACAAACCTGAGGAGGTTTGAAATGGAGCGAATCGCAGGAATGAATCTGACAGCAACAGTACTAGATATCATCACAATGATCATCTTCTGCCTAAGTCTGATCTCTTGCAAATTTCTTCTGTTATAAAGATAAACACATTACTTATATCTGCAATTGGCAGTTTTGCATGCTGATCTAGTTGTTGTTTATTTCTTGTCTAGTACTTACGGAAAAGCCAGTAAGTACCACAGTAATGGAGAATGAAAAGGAAATAAGATCTGCCAGAGTGCCCACTGTAAGCTGACACTGGGATGGAGACTTCCACACAAAAAGCAGAAGGATGAGTGGAATATAACTTTTGTAGGCAGAATGGTTTTCTTAAATATTTGCAAAACTGACACCCTTATTCACAGAGCAACCCCAGAGTACTGTGACCGTTGCGTAGGAAGTATGATGAAAAAGTGGCGAGGTATTTTTAAACTTAAATAAATTTTTTTAGATGCTGTGCACTGACCTGAAAGGTATGAACCACTGCTCAAGACATTGGAAACTAAGTACCTTCAGATTGCAAGTCATATTAAAAAAGAAATCCAACTCATTGCTTTAACCTTGTCCAAATCTATCCTGAGCAAGAATGCTCTTTTCAAGCCAATACACACAGATGAAGATACCAAAGGCAGGGGCTGAAGGGTGAGTGGAATATCAGAAAGATTATAAAACGATAGACCTGAGAGTCAGAGGGCCCATCAGCGGTCACCCTGCTAACAGCATGCTTGGCAGATGTCCACTTAGCATCCATCTGTTCCATTTTAAGGGCAACAAACTCACTACTTAATGAAGCAGCTTATAATCCAATGCTGCACACTTCCAATGTTGCTGCTCTGGGTGGCAGCTCACATAAAAAGCTTAGGAACTGGACATAAGGTTCCTGAAGGTTTTTTGTTTGATTGTTTTTTAAAATATATATTTTGTTGACTTTTTTACAGAGAGGAAAGGAGAGGGGTAGAGAGTTAGAAACATTGATGAGAGAGAAAAATCAATCAGCTACCTCCTGCACACCCCCTAACTGGGTATGTGCCCGCAACCAAGATACATACATGCCCTTGACCAGAATTGAACCCGGGACCCTTGAGTCCACAGGTCGACGCTCTATCCACTGAGCCAAACCGGTCAGGGCAGGTTCCTGAAGGTTTAATCAACAAGCCACGCAGTGAAAATTAAACAGCTTTCTTGATCTGAACACTGTACTTCTATCCAACTTAAAATTGCACTGTATTCAGGTTAGCTCACTCTGAGGTTATGATCAATTAACAGAGCTTTTATACTTTAAATAAAGTTTATGTGTAACTATATCTTTTTTTAAATTAATTCTAAAATGTCTTTAAATATATCCCACTTAAATTTCACCTTTTTTAAAGGCCCACCATTCAACTTTTGTTGAGATCTCTTTGAATGCCCAGTCTATGCAAACTATTCTTCCAAGCTTTGTGGTTAACAGATAACACATTTATGTCTGTAGTGAATTTATGGATCATGATAGGGCGAGGCACTGAGAATCTCGTGACTCAACATAAATTAATTGCTTGAAAATATAAAAATAAACCCCATGCGTGAGCAACAGAGCTAGGTCCAGCCATCTGGACATCTCGCCCAGTGCTTCTCCCAGCAACCCTTTCCCCGGGATCTCGTCTACCTACCTCTGGGGCTCATGCACTCACAGAGCACAGAGAGCAGAAGCAGAGCTCTCAGCAGCCACTGGATACTGTTTCTGTGATGTCCCCATGACCAGACCCAAAAATTATGGGCAGGATGAGATTATAGACAGGGATCTTTGAAACTGAATAAAATGCATATAGCTAGCTGAATTATTTCGTAGGTGGGGGAAATCAGTTTTCTCAGGTCTCAATTTCCTCATCGGTGAGGAGTCATGGATACAAGTCGCTAAGATCCCTATCAATATAAAGTTCGTCCTATATAATAAAAGGCTAATATGTGCCGAAACCGGTTTGGCTCAATGGATAGAATGTCGGCTTGGGGACTGAAAGGTCCCGGGTTCGATTCCGGTCAAGGGCATGTACCTTGGTTGCGGGCATATCCCCAGTAGGGGGTGTGCAAGAGGCAGCTGATCGATGACTCTCTCTCATCGATGTTTCTCTCTCTCTCTCTCTCTCTCTCTCCCTCTCTGTATAAAATCAATAAAAAATATATATTTTTTAAAAAGGCTAATATGCAAATCGACCCAACAGCAGAACAACTGGTCGCTATGATGCACACTGTCCTCCAGGGGGCAGACATTCAATGCAGGAGCTGCCCCTTGGTGGTCAATGCACTCCCACAGGGGAGTGCTGCTCAGCCAGAAACCAGCCTCAAGGCTGGCCAGCGCAGTGGCGGGAGCCTGCTAAGGATGTCCAACTGGCAGCGTGGGCCCCCTCCCCCAAGGGCTGCCAGATTGCAAGAGGGCACAGCCTGGGCTGAGGGACCCCCCCTTCTTGAGTGTACGAATTTCGTGCACCGGGCCTCTAGTAAGTATTATAAGAACTTAAGTTATGGAGATCCTGTGACTTTAAGGTTCCTAGTAGCTAAGGTGATCTGGAAGCAGAGAAACCTGAGTCTTTCTACCATATGCACATACAAAGTCTGTCAACTCACTTTGAACATTTTGAGAAAATGCCTTGACCCACGCATACATTTTAATAAATTTAATGTAGGTGAGAACTTCATTCATTTTCTGAACACGGTCATCTGTAATAGTTACACATTTTCTCCTGAAATATGCAGTGATCCGTGACGCAAACATCTGAAAGAAAAAAGAGATGTTATGCCAAAATCAGAGCTTATCAAACGTTTAAGAGCCGTTTAGTCTCTCTTGGAAATAAATCTGCTTAAGATTATTATAAATAGCCGAGACCAGTTTGGCTCAATGCATAGAGCGTCGGCTTGGAGACTGAAGGGTCCCGGGTTCGATTCCGGTCAAGGGCATGTACCTTGGTTGCGGGCAAATCCCCAGTAGGGGGTGTGCAAGAGGCAGCTGATCGATGACTCTCTCTCATCGATGTTTCTAACTCTTTGTCTCTCTCCTTTCCTCTCTGTACAAAATCAATAAAATATATTTTTTTAAAAAAAGATTATTATAAAATGAGTGTCATGTAGTTGTATTATCTTTAATAAAACTGGTCCTTTAAGTTAGAATCAAATATTTAATTCTTATCCCTTGGTAAGGAAGCTAATACGAATATTTGTTCTCATGGTAATCACAGATATTGAGTGCTGTCGAACGGAAGCAGGAGGACCCTATCAGTACCAACGTGAGGCCGAGTGACTCAAACGCTCTCGTGTCTCCTGGGGGCAGGTGCGCTTGCCGGCTTTCTCCTTCACTCAGATTCTCTCTGTTTTAAAATCTCATTGGGAGCCACCGCTAATGAGGCTTCTATTCAAGCAATACCTTACTTCCTCTCAAGTCCAGATTCTGCCTACGTGGACTGAGCAATGTCTAGCTCCTTCTAAAATTTTCCAACGTAGGGCCAGCTTTGAGGAAATTTCCGAGATAATGTGAAACTTCAGTGGTACCTACTAGACATAACCCAGTGGAAGTAACTTATCTAACAAGATGCTGCCAAAATACAGCAAGGAGGCTTACTCACCATTGCTGGATAAAAGAGGATAAAAACGGCTGATCCCAGGAAGCCTGTCGGTCCCAGAATATTTACACTATAAATCATGCCCAAGATGGCAACAATGGGTCCTCCGGCCAGCAGGGTGCCCATGGCGGCGGCCTCAAACATCCTCTGCCCGTCGTTGGAGCACAGGTTGATGAGCTAGGAGACACGGAGAGCAGTGAGCGGCCGGCCCTCTTGTCTCGGGAGGAGGATACAGGACAAAGCGGGGGACCTAAAGGAACTTTCTCTTTGCCCGGAAGCCAAGAACCCTCACTCACCTCGCCCACAGACTTCTCTTTAATGCTCTTTAACTTGAGGATCTTCTTAAAGGCCATGGTGAGGATGGCCCCCCGCAAGCGGACGGCGGTTCGGTAATTCAGTGCCCAACACATTGCAAGTGACCAGGAGCGCACGATCTCTATCAGGAGGAAGCTCAGGACTAAGAGCAAGCTGTATGTGAGGTTAGAATCTGTGCCCTGGGAGTACTCCAAGAGTTGTTTCACTATGAAGGCCTACAGGGAGAAACACACACCGCTGTCAGCATCGGCGCGGCACCCTCACACCACGCCACAGCTTTATGTTAAGTTAGAAAGAGGAGGCAGTCCGTTGTTCAGTGGCCAGCGCCTAAGCAGGGAAACGCCTCCTGCGAGGACCAAACATCGCTGGCGCCCTGCCTGCAGTCAGTTCCTCAGGGCGTCTGGCAGGAGGGAGTTCTAACTCGAAAAGTTCTTCCACCACCACAACCGTTACTCTTTCTAATGTAACATAAACCTGTCCATGAGCTGAAATTAATTCTAAACACACAGTCAGTAAAAAAGTAGATATTTGACCTTATTCCAGCAGCTCCACACATTGATACATTTCTTTAAATGAAATTAAGACCTTTGTTGGGGGGAGTGGGGAGGAGAAATCGTTCCAAACGTGCTTATTTGATAAAAAGGAACAGTGTACCTACAGTTGGACTGGGGAGGAGTGAGAAGTGCATGTGCAAAACATTCCTGAAAATAAACATCCGCAGTTTAATGGCACAGAAGGGAGCAAACAGAGCAGACTTTCACAAATCCAAAGACCCTCCCGCGGGCCCGCCCCGCTCCCCGCTCCCTCCCGAAAACAAAAACATGTTACCTCAGGTAGCACATGTCTACCACCACCTGCAGGGAGGAAGGCAGCCAGCCCCCAAGGACCACCGAGCGCCACCTCCAGCTCTGAGGTCCTGCAACGCCGGAGCACACACTCACACAAGGCACATTCAGCAACAGGATTAAATACCAGGAAGTGGGAGGTAATGTACTTTTATTGAAAAAGGAAAGGAAAAAAAAAAAGTACCATCTTCAAAGAGCATCTCACAGACACTGTACAACAGGAGGAGCATTGCGGTAACATACATGAGAACATACAGAGTCGAGGTATACAAGGCTAGCCATCTAACAGGTCATCTGGCCACTGGCCGCTGTTTTAGCCACACGCAGTGGAAATACAGAATAGAGCCATCATCTGTTTCCAGAGTCCGGAGTAGTATGTCAAGCTGACAGCACTTAATCCGTCAGCGCTCCTGACGCTGCAGGGAGTCTGCAGTGGAGTAGATTCTCCAGGAATAAAGACCTTGCTGCTAAGGAAAGAGAATTAAAACAAAACAAAGCCCCAACCTCCCCAAAGACGTAACACTATGTAAAACCACTGACACTGTTGGTTCGCTAGGCTATGAGGAATGAGTTCTGCTCAGGACAGAATACAAAAATCTAGGCCTGGAGGAAAAACGGGTGGCATCCCTCAGTCTTTTCAAATCCTTGCAGCTAAAAACCGATCTTGCCCAAAAATGAAACGAAACAAAGCCACAACAAAAGAAAGCCAAACCAATCCCCCACCCAGAAGGACAGGGGGGATAAATGAACAAGAAACCCAGCCACCCACCTACCCAGATCCTCCCAGCAAAGGGGGCTAACGCTGGAAACCAGCTCTGAACGACAGACAAAAACTTAGGCCAGGCCTGTCCTGAGAAGCTAATGTTGACCCCAGAACCCAGGCTCTCTCTGGGTTAATTGGCATTTCTTGTTTTTCCTGAGAGGAAACTAATACCAGATGTCCACTAGATCCTAAGAGATCCCCACCAACCAGATTTACGTCAAGTCTCAGTAAATAACCTGATTTAATAAGTAGGAGATTTCAGATTGTAAGAACTATCGTATTCCACCTTCCCCCTCCCTCATTTTTAGGTTTATATCCATTGTGTGGGTCACCACTGCATACAGCTGGTCTGTTGGTTTACTAGCAAGGAGATTGGCTTCTTTTCCAGTTATGCAATCCAAAATGTGGAACTGAGTCGCTGAGTGGCTCGGTCAGAACCCCATTTTCCTCATGTGAAGCAACTCAGCAAGATGGCGATGCAGTAAAGCATTTTCTCACACACCTCGGCACCCGAAGGAACAGTCTCCAAAGGAAGGCGTGAAAAGACAGCAGGTTGTAGTTTGGGGTTCTTTCTTTCCCATACCTTTTGGGTGCCATTTTTCGGCACCGGTAATAGCGTAACTACCTCCCACGGGGGAGGAGCCAGGGAAGGTAAAAGACATAATGAGTGCTTACACTATGCCAAGCTTTCAAAGGGGTAGGGGAGGAGAGGAAACAGCAGAGCAGGTTAAAGCATTTCCAACAATACGGTTTTTTAAAAACAGTTACATTCCAAACCATTTTGTATGGAATAAAGGAAGAAAGAAAAAAAAAGTTTTTCATGGCAAATCCAAAATTATGTTTAAAAAAGTTACAGATTTATCATGTAAATTAAACAAACTGGGAGAAAATGTGAGACTGTCAGCAGAGCTGTCTGGCTGTGGAAAACATTCCCAGTGAATAAACATTACCTTACCTGAACTCTTGGCGAGAGATTCTGCCCAGCTTGACTCTCTCATTCTGACCGCAGAATACAGCCAATCCTGAAAATTCTAAAGAACAGCTTCTATCACTGGTTCCACTACAGAGATACTCCCCCCAAATCCAGATTCTGACAGCACCAAGCAAGCTGCAGCTGGAGAGAGGTCGAAAGGGTGGAAAACTTACCTCTCTAGAGGCTTTTCACTGTCCTTTCCCCAAAGGGCCCTTGAGCTGAGTTAGCATTCACCAAGAGATAGCTCTGCAGGAGGTGGCCTTCTCTTGCAGATCTACAGGGAGGATGCTAATTCTTTGCACACACGTCATAGGTCAGGCCTGGTCTTTTAAGCTCTTAATCCAAGAAGGCCACACAAATCAGCTCTGTAAATTCAGCCATTTGGCCCCTCATCTTAGGTGGGGGCCATGTCCTTATAGATTCTGGTATTCCATTAACGTTATGGCAACCCTTGGACACACCTTGCACAGAGTGCTGGTCCATGGGCATCACTGAATCTTTGGATCACCTTGATCACAGATGGCCGGCCCTGGCTGGCCAGCCGTTTAAAAACAAAACGCAATAACTTGATTGTGTTTCACCTGCTTTGCATATGGCCAGCAAGGGGCAGTGAGGCCCGAGGGGAGATGAGAAATATGCCATATTTGGGGAGCGAGTTCTTATGCAGATTTCTGTAAGAACAGACTAAGCCAGTTGGAAAGTTGTGCCATATTAGCAAATGTGCAAAAATCTAAAACAGATGTTCCTCAAAAGGATTTAAGCGTGGTTGGTACTAATCTCAAAGCCAGCCTGTTTCTTCAATTTCCAATTGAAAAAGTTATTAGAATTGGAGCTAAAAAAAAAAAGTTTGCATTGTTTACAATTTTATATCTTTTTGTCAATGAGAGAGACTGTGGACGGGACCATTGCTTTCTCAACTGTCCTAGGATGAATCCCACGAACTAATACAGGCCTTACGGTGCTCTTCCCCAAGGGTAGAGCAAAGGAAAAGCATGCTGCTTTTTTCCTATTTAAGGAAGACGCTCCCAGCTCTCCCTGGCACCTAGGAGAATTTACTAAAGATGTCTGTTTCAGTGAGCTGTGCTTTGAAAGAGATGAAGGAATACTCAGATGCTCAAGGGAATGACGGTAGGCCCCCAAAGTGAACATGCATAGGTAATTTTTTTCCCCAAGTAAAAAGTGGAAATTCCAACCATCCAAGGAATAATAGTTTTTTTTGGTGAGAGGAACCAAAGAAGTTCTTGCATTGGCCAAATGGAATCGATAAAGCCTGTGGAGCGTGCTACCCAGTTGAAAGAATTCTATGAAGGATCAGAGCAGCCACCAGCCCTGTAGTGAAACAATGACAGAAGCTCTTCTTGGGGGAAGATGGCCCTACGAAAACGTTTGCCATTCTGGTCGATAACGTAGTATTCAGTTACACAGTCCCTCTTACTTAAAACTTACACAAAAAATGTGTTAGTTGGTCAATAAACGGAGAAACCAAATACCAGAAAAGTCATGTTTTTTGCTTCAGAAAAGAGGTCAAAACTTTTTTTTTAAAGGCATCAAACATTTTTTTTTTTTTTTTAAAGCAGGAAAACTGTAAATTAGCTTTACCTAATCACAATGCATCTTAGGCACATACTTACCCAACCCATGACCTCCAGCTTACCCACACATAGGAAATGCACAGTATAGTAGCACTACTGCTCCGATGCCTCAAGGCAAATATGTAGAGAATAGATTTAATCAAAGGCTCAAGTGTAAGGCAGCACAGCAGGTATAAGAAACAGGTGTCCAGAAGACGGGTGACCGTCACTCTTACCTACTCTGCTTCGGTACACACTAGGAAAAAACCACGGTTGCCACCCCAACATTTGCCGCACCCCAACATTTGTACAATACAGACCAGACTGAGCATGGACTCCAGGTTACACTCTAGAAACCTCAACAGCCCTCTCGTTTCTTCAGGACTCATGTGCTACAGAACCATTAAACATGTGACAACCCTGCCTCCAGGTGTTCCGTGTGTCACCGGCACTAGCTCAACAGCCTACGCCACACAGGCTGCTCTCGCCCACACACAGCACTGAGAGACACACCTTCCCAAACCGAGACTGTCATTTCATGTCCACACACAGCAGAGGAGCACAGTCCTGTGCGGAGCCAGACTCATTCGGTCCCCCCTCCCCCCCACCCCAGGACAGCAAGCCAGTTCCGTTTCTCATCTGGCAGCGCGGGCCTCACGTCCTTCCAGCTGCTGACAAGCCACTCACTCCAAAGTCAATTTGTTCCCTTTCCTTAAACCTGGAGGCATCTCTAAGGCTGCTAACTAGCCCGAAGGTGAGCACAACCCCTGCGACGGAACAAGGGTGTTAGAGCTGGCCGCGGCCGGGCTCCTGGACGCTGTCGGAAAGGATGGTCAGAACTTACTGGTCCACTGAAGGCAGCCAGCTGCGTGATCATCAGGCACACGATGGAGATGATGAGCCTGGTGCGGCAGAAGGTCCACACAACCCTTCGGAGGGAGGCAGCTTCTGGCCCAACTTCATTCAGCTCTTCTTGCCACAGTCTCTCTAGTCTTAACAAGGGCACATGTCCTCCGTTACACATCTCCCCAGGGAACGTACACGCCCTAGCTTCCCTCCTGCCATCGCTTTCTGTCTCCGGGCTTTGACACCACTCACAAGAGTCTTTCCTTTCCAAATTATGCACCTAGCCTTAAGCTTCTGGGGGTAAAAAATGCCCTTCCTGGGTGCCTACATATCTACCCTGCACAGGGAGCCTCTCAGGACACAGAAAATACAGATGAGAACAAAAGTCATTTCTTCCACCCAGAAAGATTATCCCTGCATAGCCTCTTTTTGTGGGTAAGAACTTCCTTTCTCAAGGATCCCCTAACCCTTCCTGAAGGACCCTGTGGTAAGATGTAGAGTTGTAAACTAGGTTTTAATCATGACAATCAGCTACCATAAAAATTTACTCTGTCACAAGGCAGCAACATAATCTCCCTGTAGACTCAGGAAGAGAAGCAGGGCTGAGAGAGAGAGAGAAAGCCTGTGGTTAAAACAGGATTAAAGGTCAAATAGGAGATAAAGCAGAAGAGCAAAGAGGAAGTCATCCCAGCTGCCCTCCCTCCACCCGCTAGCCCCGATCTTAAAAGGACAGAGCTGAGGACTTCCCACTGCTGGACCCGCACCCCTAGCTCAGGCCCTACGCATCCAGTATGTGGGTCACCGGGGTGGACCAGAGACGCCTACCTTCTGGCGTTCGCCTCAGAAGACTCGTACTTGGACAAAGGCCACATGTTCTCCATGGAGAGCTCTCCCTTCTTGTGGGCCAGGCGGGCCAGGGGAGTAAGCCAGTTAAAAGTCATGTAGGAGAAGAACCCAGCATTGTCCACTGGGTGCTGGTATCTACGGAGAGAAAACCCAGAGCACAAAACCGTTAACACACGCCGCGAGGCCAGCCGGCACTTACAATATGCTGTTTGGTAAAACAGAGCTCGGGACTGAAAACGGGGCTCCCCAGGTGGTCTCCTCTCCGCCCCGCACTCTCAGCACTGCTTTTGGTGCTTCACGGAGAAGTCACCGGGAGAACCTCTTACTTGGAAGTGGTCCGAATGGGCTTCAGAGCACTTAAGCTGTGATGGTACTTCCCCTTGGGATGCTCCTCATCCAGGAATCTGAGCTGAGAACGCGTGCAGGCATCCAGGGAAAGGCCCTCAGCTCGGGCTGCGGCCTCAAAGGCATCTTGGCATTCCAACTGTTTGAGCAGACAGGGAGAGAAGACATCAGACAGAGCATGGAAACATAACAGATCAAACTGCAAGCCAGGTTCATCTCGCCTGGGACATTCCAAAGGTCAGTGGGTTAAACATCTTGTATGGTATGTACGTACCTGTTCAGGAGCATTAAAAACCAGATACCTAAAGCTTCTAAACTAATAGATTTCATTTTATTTTTCTGAGCACTCTTAGGTTTGGAAACATTGAGCAGAAAGTACAGAGTTTTCCCAGGTACCGGGTCATCTGCCCTCTCTCCTTCCCATCCATTTCCCGTGAAGGACCCTGTGGTAAGATGTAGAGTTGTAAACTAGATTTTAATCATGACAATTAGCGTGGCTCATGTGCTACTGACACAATTACTCTGAACGGAAGCCCAGAGTTTACATTAGAATTCACTCTTTGTGTTGTACGTTCTAAAATTTATATGTTTGTCACCAGAATGCTTTATCTTTCATTTCCCAGTATGGGATGAGAGACAACCACTTCACTAATAACAGCATATTCTTTTGCCCATTTTCTATGACAAAAAAATTAAAGATCACCCCCAAAGAGGCAGCCCCATCATGCAGGAAGAAAATATACACGTGCCACCTGTCCTTCCCTCTTATCAGCAACAGGGAGAGCAGGACAGGGTTTCCGCCCTGGCTGCACAGCTGATGAACGAGCTCCGTCCCCAAATTCCTGCAGTGTGAAGCCGAGGGTCCCAGGAGGTGAAATACAAAGTTACACATATTTGCTAGAAAACTTATAAATATCCATTAAGCAGGTGAACAGAAATGCATGAAATTCAATGTCTGACTGCGGCAGAAGAGGGTGGGCCAAGAATCTAGCCCCAATTTCTCTAAAAGGAACAAAAAACGCATGCCTTTCTGTTCCAGAAACGGAGCACTTTTCCCTCAAGAGAGGATTCTAAGTACATCATCCTTTTCTCACATCACCACAAATATCTCCCAGATCGAGGGCTAAGGGCTGCAGCACCTAACACACTGCGCTTTACATGAAGTGTTGTTACACTCCCACCTCCTTTCCACACAGAACAGAGGCCAAATATTAGCTGAACTGGAAGAGCCAGGGATCACAGGCGTGGGCGCCTCAGTGGATTGTTCCTCAAGTACAATAGCTCTAATTGACAGGCGAGGTGCTGCTGCTTAGGATCAGGAAACTGCACAGCCCAGGCAAAGGGAAAGCACATTTTTTTTCCTTTGTCAAAGGCAAGGCAGATCAATCTCAAGAGAGTAACAACACAATGACAAATGAGTCAATACCAAGATAAGAATTAATTGCTCTACCAAATCCTTAGGCATAAGGCGAACACTTATTTAGTGGGTAGGGACTATGGTACCTAATTATGAACTAATAAAGGCTGCTGAGATTCAAGTATCACAAAGGTGTGTTTTTTGGCTGCCTATAACCACGAGGTGAAGAAAAGAAAACACTGGATTGATAAAAAAAAAAAAAAAAGGTTACACTAAAAATGCAAACATACCACCCACGGTGTGACTCAATGGTTGAGTGGCGACCTATGAACCAGAAGGTCATGGTTTGATTCCCAGTCAGGGCACATGCCTGGGTTGTAGGCTCAATCCCCAGAGTGGGGCATGCAGGAGGCAGCCAATCAATGATTCTCTATCATCACTGATGTTTCTATCTCTCCCTCTCCCTTCCTCTCTGAAATCCATTTTAAAAATATATTTTACTGAAAGATCAGTCAGGAGCCGAAAACCAGGTGACACAGGCTTTATTAGAGGAAAGACCTGCCGGGCTGTCTCATAAAGGGAGAGCAGCAACCAGTGCAGAGGTGAGCACTCCTTCTGAGGGGAGGAATGGAAAGGAATGGGCTTAGGGTACCCAGTGGGTGCTGATTGGTGGCTTAATTAATGTATGGTCTATATAAGGTATATAGTTAGGCACTGAGGTACTTAGGAACAAGGGCTTAGGCCAGTGGTTGGCAAACTCATTAGTCATTAGTCATTAGTCAACAGAGCCAAATATCAACAGGACAACGATTGGAATTTCTATTGAGAGTCAACTTTTTTTAACTTAAACTTCTTCTAACGCCACTTCTTCAAAATAGACTCGCCCAGGCCGTGGTATTTTTGTGGAAGAGCCACACTCAAGGGGCCAAAGAGCATGTGGCTCTCGAGCCGCAGTTTGCCAACCACGGGCTTAGGGTATTTGACATTGGTGGATTAATGTATAGTCCATATAAGGTACATGGTTAGGCACTCAGGTATTTCCGGGCTGCAGGTTATGTCATATTTTCTGTTATTCCGCCCACCAGTTGGGGGAAGGGAGGATCCATCATTTACCAAAAAACAAACAGACAAAAAAAAAAACACCCTAATATATGGAAGTAGAAACTAGAAATATGTAGAGTAGGCACAAGCTTTAGTAATCATTCACTATAAGCAGAATCCTCTGATCTCATATTTGTTTTAAGAGACAACTTTCTGCCCAAACCGGTTTGGCTCAGCGGTAGAGCATCAGTCTGTGGACTGAAGGGTCCCGGGTTTGATTCTGGTCAAGGGCATGTACATTGGTTGCGGGCACATCCCCGGTGGGGGTGTGCAAGAGGCAGCTGGTCGATATTTCTCTCTCATTGACGTTTCTAGCTCTGTATCTCTCTCCCCCTCCTCTCTGTAAAAAAAAATTCAATAAAATAGATATATATTTTTAAAAAGAGACAACTTTCTGCCGAAACCGGTTTGGCTCAGTGGATAGAGCGTCGGCCTGCGGACTGAAAGGTCCCAGGTTCGATTCCGGTCAAGGGAATGTACATTGGTTGCGGGCACATCCCCAGTAGGGGGTGTGCAAGAGGCAGCTGATCGATGACTCTCTCTCATCGATGTTTCTAACTCTCTATCTCTCTCCCTTCCTCTCTGTAAAAAATCAATAAAATATATTAAAAAAAAAAAAAGAGACAACTTTCTGAAACATCCCTAAACATGACAGTACTTTATACTTGTTGTACTATATGGCAAGTACAACACTGAGACGCTGTCAAAAATCTCCTCCGAGAAAAACTTTCCCACCAAATGCAACATTCAAATTCATAATTGTTCTTAATAATCTAGCAATGGTGTTTATAGCATGACTGGATGCCATATAGTGCATTCATAAATAATGAGAAGTTGGGCCTTTTTAATGGTTTTAGCAACTTCACTTGCTAAAGTGAGTCTAGAAATTGAGTCTAGAAATTGAAGTCTAGATATTGAGTCTAGAAATTGAAGTTTCATTTAATGGAATTGGTAATTTATATTGGGAATGAAAGGTTCTTCCACCAAGAAGTAAATTAGCAGCAATTCCTATAGGCACTATGGGTAAAAAAGTACCACCACGACCTAAAATAATGTTTTAAAACTTTATGAAGGTACGTTTTTCTACTACCACCTGGACCATCCAAGAAAAAGCATTAGAGGTGTACAGTTTGATCTTCGATGGCTGAAGTTATAGTCTGAAAGGCTGCCAACTGTTCATCATTCAGAGAATTTAGCAAAACCTCTGCCTGTTGTCGTTTGTACGATTCATCACATGTATTTGTATCGTTAATAAAGGATAGTCCGAACGTTTGAAATGCAAACATTTCATTCCATGCAATGTGAATACCTCTTGAATTTCATCAAGGGCATGCATTTCATAGTTCATACAGACACCTTCTCTTCGGTGTAATTTCCAACAAAAATCTTCAATAAAATGAAATTTATTCTCATCCCATAATTTGTCTGCATCAGAAAGACATTCAAACACAATATATATGCAAAAAAAAAAAAAGTTACTGTAGTTGTTTGGGCATATTAAGGATGATCGCATCATCAATTGTATCTTTCCAGACAGTGTCGTCGATTAATAATCCTCGATGTTTAGCAGCTTCACGAAATGTATTAGTGACACCTCCTACAGTTCGCAGGTCAGCAAAACTTACCACACCTTTTACATGCAGAAGCAAAAGTCTAAGGTAATATTGTCCTGGTTCTTTAAAGCTCACACAATCTACCTAATATTTTATTCTCACCCTTTTGGCATTTTTCTCCATGAGAATTATTAAACACATAATGTTGTGGAATCTCCCAATAATAATAATCACGCATGTCGGAATCTTCTCTATTTAATAAGAACTAAGCTATCAAAGTCGAGTTATGCCTTTTAGCCCAACCTATACTTTGGCAAAATCATCGGTATGAAGATACAAATTCTGATCATTTGGCAAATGAACAGCTAATCTTGTGATTGCATGAGATTGGTCATGCATTCGCATTGCAAAAAGTCTCCGAACAGCCTCAAGAGCGCTCCCATACCTGGAGTCAATGAAGTCCTGTACTTCGTCATGATTGATATTTTTTTCAGAAATTTGAATATTTGCACAATCGTGCCCTTTATAGAAGTATTTAAATAAATATTTGACACTTTTAATTGATGCACAGATTTCAATGCTCATATGACAGTTACATTTAAGGCACAAATATGGGTTATAAGGGACAATCCAAGAATTATCGACAACTTTATTTCTTTTTTAATATATTTTTATTTTTTTTTTACAGAGAGGAAGAGAAAGGGATAGTAGAAACATCGATGAGAGAGAATCATTGATCAGCTGCCTCTTGCACGCCCCCTACTGGGGATGTGCCCGCGACCAAGGTACATGCCCTTGACCGGAACCGAACCTGGGACCCTTCAGTCCACAGACCGACGCTCTACCACTGAGCCAAACCGGTTTCAGCGACAACTTTATTTCTAACAGACGTGGTGCTACCAGATCTTCGTTTGTATTTGGGATATCGACCAATATTTCCAATCGTCGCATTTTGAAATTCTTTCGGCTATCCCTTTGAACATTTTCCATTTTCCATACATGGACTATGTGGATTTTGTATTCAACATAGCCCATGTACCATAAAGTCGAGGACACTGTTCTACACCCGGAATTTCTGCCTTAACTATACAGTCAGTGTCATCTTCCGTTTGTAATTTGGATTCACTA